TAAAACACGCATAACCGTATCGATTCAAAAGCCGGAAATTTCCATTATTCCCGTTGGTGGATCCATAACATTGTCGTGTAGCGGCATGTTGGAATACAATAGGGTAAGTCGACAAAAAAACTATATTGAAAAAAAGTTTTAAAAATTTAACAAAAAATATTTTTTTTAAATTATCGAAAATTTCAAAATTTTTTTTAAATTCGAAAAAAATTGTCTAAATTAAGAAAATACAACAGAAAAAAAACTATTTCTTTACATTTTTTTCAAAAATTTTTAACTTTTTTTTTGATGTTCGAATTTTTCGAACATTAATAAAAAGACCCAAAATTACAAAATATCACCTCCAAATAATGTTACAACAAAAATTACATAGTTTTAACAAATTTTTTCGAACTTCGAATTTTTCGAACATTGTCAAAAAGTGATTAAATTTCGAAATTTTCGAACTACCTTACTTAAAATAATTTTTCAACAGTTTTTTTAAATTTTTTCAAAAAAATTAAAAATTTTTTCGATGTTCGAATTTTTCGAACATTAATAAAATGACCCAAAATTGCAATATATCACCTCCAAATAATATTACAACACTTTTTGTTTGAAAATTTTCTAGAAAAATTTTAAAATTTTTTCAAAAAATTAAATTTTTTTCGAAGTTCGAATATTTTGAACATTAATAAAATGGCCTATAATCACAATATATCACCTCCAAATTATATAACAATAAAATTTACATAGATTTAAAAATTTTTTCGAACTTCGAATTTTTCAAACATTGCAAAAAGTGTGATTAAAATTCGAAATTTTATGAAAATATCAATTAAAATTAAGTTAATACAATACAACCGCATCAAAAAAAATTATTTTAATTTTTTTTCAAATTTTGAAATTTTTTTTCAAAAGAAATTAAATTTTTTCGATGTTCGAATTTTTCGAACATCACTAAATTGACATAAAATCACAACATATCACCCCCATATAATATTACAAAAAAAATTATGTAGTTTTTGCAATTTTTCAAACTTCGAATTTTTCGAACATTGCCAAAAAGTGATCAAATTTCGAAATTTTGAAAAAAATATCAATTGAAATTTAGGAAATACATCACAACCACATCAAAAAAAACGTCTTTTGAATTTTTTTTTAATTTTTTCAAAAAATTTTAAAATTTTTTCGATGTTCGAATTTTTCGAACATTAATGAAATGACATAAAATCACAACATATCACCTCCAAATAATATTACAACAAAAATTACATAGTTTTAACAAATTGTTTGAACTTCGAATTTTTCGAACATTGACAAAAAATTAGTAAATTTCGAAATTTTGAAACAAAAATATAAATTAAGAAAATATAACACCGCAAATTTACTTGATTTTTTTCAAAAATTTTTAATTTTTTTTTGAAAAATTATGAAATTTTTTCGATGTTCGAATTTTTCGAACATTAATTACATGAACTAAAATTACTATATATCACCTCCAAATTATGTTACAACAAAAACACATAATTTTAGCAATTATTTTCATGTTCGAATTTTTCGAACATTGCAAAATATTGCTAATAATCTAATATATCATCTCAAAAATCTCTTGTATAATCATACAGAAACTATAAAACGTATGTAGATGTGTTTTTGGACAACTTTACAATGTTCGAAAATTCGAACATACAAATTTTTAGGAATATTATTGGAATACTATTCTAATTTTTTTGTGTAAATCCTTATTAGTATAAAAATAATAGTTAAAAACTTTTAAATAATTATTTTAAAACATTTTTCTGGCAATTTTTGCAATGTTCGAAAATTCGAACATTGATTCGAAATTCATAAAAAGGCTAAAAAAATGTCTTGTATCACCATGGTACATTGATATAGAAGCTAAAAAAGGTATTTGAAAATGTGTGTGGACAATTTTGATGAAGTTCGAAAATTCGAACATTCAAATATTTCGAATTTTTTCATGAAATTTAATGTAAACTCTTTATGAAATCATAATTTACATTAAAGCCAAAAGTTATGTATCTTATAAGCAATATTTTAGACATTTTTCGAGATATTTTTTTAAAAAAATCGTATGTTCGAAAATTCGAAGATTGTTGCAACACTGTTAAAAATGCTAAAAATTGTATTAAAACAATGTAGTAGGTTCACATAGAAGCTAAAAACAATATTTTAAAATTTTTTCGAGACATTTTTTTAAAAATTCGTATGTTCGAAAATTCGAAGATTGTTGCAACATTGTTAAAAATGCTAAAAATTGTATTAAAACAATGTAGTAAGTTCACATAGAAGCTAAAAAAAGGTATTTTAAAATTTTTTCGAGACATTTTTTTAAAAATTCGTATGTTCGAAAATTCGAAGATTGTTGCAACATTGTTAAAAATGCTAAAAATTGTATTAAAACAATGTAGTAAGTTCACATAGAAGCTAAAAACAATACTTTAAAATTTTTTCGAGACATTTTTTTAAAAATTCGTATGTTCGAAAATTCGAAGATTGTTGCAACATTGTTAAAAATGCTAAAAATTGTATTAAAACAATGTAGTAAGTTCACATAGAAGCTAAAAAAAGGTATTTCGAAGTGTTTTGGACAATTTTGGCAATGTTCGAAAATTCGAACATTCAAATATTTAGGAATATTTCTTGAAATTAAATGCAAAATCTTTATGAAATCATAGTTTACATTGAAACAATGGTAATAATCATTATTTTAAAACAATTTCGAGATATTTTTAAAAAATCCTATGTTCGAAAATTCGAAGATTAATTCAAAAATGTTAAAAATGCTAAAAATTGCATTATTAAAATATAGTAAATTCATAAAGAACCAATATAAAGTATTTCCATGTTGTTTTTGGACAATTTTTGTTATGTTCGAAAATTCGAAGATTGTTAAATAGTCACGAAAATTAAAGAAAATGATGCAGAAACTAATGAAGAAGACTTAAAATGTATTTAAAAGAGTTTTTGGGCGATTTTTGTAATGTTCGAAAATTCGAAGATTGCTAAAAGTAGTAAAAAATTGGAAAAAAAATATTTTGAACAAAATCGTTTCACGAATTTAATTTTTGACATGTTCAAAAATTTTAAAATTTAATTTTTTTTTCAAAATTTTTTTTTCGATTTTTTCAAAATTTTAATTTTTTCAACAAAAAAATTTTTGTTTTCAATATTTCCAGTTGCCCGTCGTTGTGAACTGGTATAAGTATAACGGTGACCTGCCCTTCCACTATGATCAAACCGATGGCGTTCTGAGATTGTTCGACTTGCAAATCCACGATTCCGGTACCTACATCTGTCAGGCCCGCCACAATCAAACTCAACGCATTTACGAAGATAGAGTTACCATCACCATTACAGGTAAGGGGAAAAAGCTGCCAGATTTTGGTTATATAAAAATTAATTTAAATATTGGAAATTTTGAAATGCTGCCTTTCAATAAAAAAGGATATGCCAAAGAGATGTTGGCCCGTTACGGTATGGAGTTTGAAATACCCCTACTAGATTAGCTAGAAAATATTGTGAAATTATTTCCGAATTTATTTTTAATTCAAATTTCTGAACTTCCAGAAACCTCCCGTCGCTCCCCAGCCCGCATTGACAACTTGGCTCCCTATCACACCTTTACCGAATTCGTTCCCGCTGAAATCGCTTGCGAAGTAAGTGGTAATCCTCAACCCGTTGTCACATGGATTCGCGTGAATGATCAGATGTCCACCGAAGTTCATGTCGAAGGTAATCGCTTGATTTTCGAGAGACCACGTAAATCCGATGAGGGTAGATACCGCTGCCAGGCCAATAATGGTGAAGGTTATCCCGATGAGAAATATACCGAAGTTTATGTCGAGACCGTGATGCCATCATCCACACCGGCACCACGTGAAATGGTCTACATTGAACCACCCCAATATACTGGTGAAGCTGGTCAACCCATTCGTCTGACTTGTCACTCCATTTCGAACATCAATCTGAAATATGAATGGACCAAGGATGGTTATGCCATCTATCGTCAGCATAATGTCATTATGCTGGGCAATACCTTGGAGATTCGTGATGCCACTCCACGTGATTCGGGTACCTATACTTGTGTGGGTATTGATATGCGTGGTCGCCGTAACTACACCTCAGATGCTCGGGTATTTGTTGATGAACCAGCTGGTCCTTATCCCGCTGTGGGGTAATATTTAATTTTTGAATTATCCTCCTTGGTTACAGATCTGACCCGTTTTCTGTCTTTCTACCTTGCAGAACTCCACCCGTCATCAAGGCCATGCGCGAAGAACATCTTGTCATTCAAGGCCATGATTTTACCATTACCTGTGAAGCTTCTGGCACTCCTCGTCCCACCATTAAATGGACCAAGGTCCATGAATCTCTCGGCGATAACGTCCATCAAACTGGCAATGTATTGCGTATTAGCTCTGCCCGCCCCGATAATCGTGGTGTTTATGTTTGTGTTGCCGAAAATAATGTGGCCTCCGATCAAGCCAGTACATATATTGAAATTGAACGTAAGTAGAGTGGGCTCAAAACGGAACTGCAAAACTATTTTTGTCAATTAAAACATTTTTGAAAAAATCTCCTAAATTTTCTCAAGGCCATAACTAGGTTATTAAAGGGGTCTTGAGGTTCTAATTTTTGTTGTGCACATTATATTTACTCTTCTAATCAATTTTCATGCAAAAAATATTCAATTTTTAAGCATTAAAGACCAGAAATTTAATATTTTCTATTTGGGACCGGGGTGCGTATGACTATTATTAATTCATGGGTTATATTAGAAAATTACGTATATCTCCTGAACGGCTTGGGATTTTGCCAAAATTCTTCTTGCTATTGAAAGACAACCTATTAGGGAAAAAATAAAAATTCATAGGTATTAAATTTTGTAGGGGGGATGGGCAGAATATTTAATTATTTCTCATAAATAATTCTCATAATTCAATTAAGGCCACATCTAGGTTTTTAAAGGTCTTCTCAGGTTCCCAATTCCTGTCGTATATAATATTTTTGCTCTCCTTATTCATATTCACGAAAAAAATATTCGATTTGAAAGCATTTAAGACTTTATTTCAAATATTTTCTATTTGGTCTAGGGGTGCGTATGACTATTATTAATTCATGGGTTTTATTAGAAAATTACGTATATCTCCGGAACGGTTTGGGAATTTGGCCAAATTCTTTTTACTATTGAAAGACAACCCATTAGGGAAAAAATAAAAATTCATAGATATTAAATTTTACTGGGGTGGATGGGCAGAATATTTAATTATTTCTCAAAAATATTTCTCATAATTCGATTAGCGCCATATCTAGGTTCTCAATTTTTGCCGTAAATTATATTTTTAGTCTTCTGATAAATATACATTTTCAAAAAAGTCCAGTCCATAACAAATTTCCCTCTGATTTGTGATTTTAAAGAATATTTAAAATTCGAACATGGGTGCGTATGACTATTATTAATTATTGGGTCCATGTGGAAAATTAGCCATAACTCTGCAATGACAAGAGATATTTGGGAAATTATTTTTGTCATTGGAAGCCAACCCTTTAGGGAAGAAACCAAAATTATAAAAATGTAAAATTGTTCGTTAAAAGTAATTTAAAAAAATTTTACAAAAAATATTTTTAAAAAATAAAAATAAACAAATTTTAATTTTTTTGAATTTTGAATCTGAAAATAATATCATAAAATTAAATTTGTGATTCTTCTTTCCTCTCCTTTTCTCTATTTAAAAAAATACTTGTTTTTTGTTAAATTTTGAATTTATTTATCAAATATTTTCTGCCTAAAAGTATTCAAAAAAGGAGTTGGTAATAAGAACGTTCCGAACAATTTACTAGTTTTAGTACTAATTTGTACCACCCTGATTATATCGTTGATTCCAGCTCGTGAACGTCCCACCGTTGACATTGATCCCAAAGAACCACAAGTACTTGTTGTTGGCAGCCAGGGTATGCTATATTGTACCGCCACCGGTATACCCACACCCAGAGTACAATGGTCTCGTGTCGATGGCCAGCCCATGTCGCACCGTCATCAAATGCAACACAATGAACCGGGTTATATTGTGTAAGTAGAATTCGACGAAGCAAATGAAGAGGGTGCGGAACCATCAGATTTGTAACCATTTTATTTTCCTTATTTTCAGCATTAATGATGTTAGCTTGGCCGATACTGGTGATTACAAATGTGAAGCCGTTAATGAAGTTGGCACAGCCACTGCTGTCTCAACCATTCGCGTCATTGAAGCGCCCGTCATCACTCTGCAACCCAATGAGGAAATTCATAGTGTAACCGAGGGTGATGAATTGCGTGTAGTTTGCACAGCCACCGGTACCCCCACACCCAGTGTCCGCTGGATCAAGGAAGATGTTGTCTCTTATGGTTATGGCGCCGCCTTCGAACCTTCATCTAATGAAGCTGTCCTGACCTTCAATCGCGTCAGCATGGAAGATGCCAAGTCCTATAAATGTATTGCCAGCAATGAAGCCGGTACCGATGAACGTTACATTGTCCTGGATGTGAAACAACATCGTGGTGATGTTGGCAAGGATGGTGATGTTGTTTACGGATCCTACCAACCATCTTACCCCACATCTTATCCCAACTATCCTCCACCAAATACCATGCAGAAACCTAAGACAGTTATGGATACCAGACCCGGTGAAAATGTTACCTTGATATGTGATATTCGTAAGTAGAGTTAGATTTTTTCGATAGAGAATTTCGATTTTTAAAATTCTCACATCTCTTAGAAAACAACTATCAAATCACTTGGGAACGTGCTGATGGCCGTCCATTGCCCTCGAATTCCTACTATGAGGGCAGCCGTTTGGTTATCTATCAAATGACTGAAAATAGTGCCGGCAATTATCGTTGCAATGCCTTGGATAGACGCGGAACCTTGCTGCAATACCACTTGTGGGAATTGGTCTATTTGCCCGTGCCCCGTATCACCCTGCATCCACAAATGCCCATTAAAGTGAATGTGAACAGTGATGTGACCATTACATGTAATGTGGAGGGTGCCCAACCCATTACCGTGTCCTGGCATACCGACAATAATCGTCCATTGACTGCGTAAGTTTCCGGGAAAAACCCATGATTTCGAAATATTAAAAAAATTTCAATTTCTTTCCTTTATAGTTCCGTCAGCATTGATGGCAAATATTTGAACTTCCGCGACATTACCCCAGCTGCTGCTGGCCGTTACTACTGCTTGGCCTCGAATCGTTATGGCAACACCACCGCCTCCGCCGAAGTGATTGTCAATCGTGGTCATACCTATGAACCCCAACCCCAGGCCAAACAATATCAAATTACCGAGGGACAAGATGTTCATGTAACATGTGATGTTGAATCGATGTCCGCTCCAATTCGTGGTGAAGTTTATGTAAGTAAAACTCCCAAATTATTATTTCCAAAAAAAAAATCGCAACAAAAATCCGCTGAAATATACGATTTTTCGTATATTTAAAATTTGTACATGGTTGCGTATGACTATTATTAATTATTGGATAAATTTGGTAAATAATTTATAACTCCGATGTTTATGAAAATATTTTCAAAATTTCTTTTGCATTGCATTCTCAACACTTTGGGGATAAAATAAAAAATTATATTTAATTTTAAATTCAAAACTAAAATCAAAATAGGGACTCTAAAATTTTAAAAACAAAATTTTTCTAAAAAATTTAAAATTCTGTTAGAACTTTTATATTTTCATAACTTTGATATTTTTCAAGATATTTTCAAAATTTCTTTTGTATTACGTTCTCAACACCTTAGGGATAATACAAAAAATTGTATGGAATTTTAAATTCAAAACTAATCTCAGTTTAGCGGCTCAAGAACATGAAAAACAAATTTTTCCTATAAAAATATTAAATGCCATATTTTTAGTAAATTTGCCGTAGTTTCAAAACTATGCGGAATATTTTCGAAATTGTTTTGGAAATTTGAAGCTGACACTTTATACAAAAAATAAAAATTGAGAACTTGTTTAATAATTTTGTTTAAATAAATTTAAAAAAATGAAAGAAAACAATAATTTGTAAAAATTTTACAGACTTTAGATTTTCAAAAATTGTTTCAATTTAAATAATTTCGAAACAATAAGGAATAATTTAAAAATTCTTTTGGATATTTGAAGATCACACTTTATATAAAAAATAAAAATTCGGAATTCGCTTAATCGTTCTTTTAAATATATTTAAAAAATAAAAGAAAACAAAAATTTTAAAAATTTGAATACCCCTTTTTTAGATTTCAATTTAATGCAATTCTAGTTTCAATTTAATCTGTTTAAGGAATTTATATACATTTTTAATCGATTACAAATACAAATTACCACAACAAATTTTTCTCTATATTTCGCGCTTTAAATCGATTTTTAAATATTGTCCTTGGGTGCGTATGATTATTATTAATTACTGGGTAGTTTTGGTAAATTCCCTGTAATTTCGAATGTATCCGGAATATTGTCAAAATTCTTTTTAAAATTTGAAGCTTACCCCTTACAGAAAAAATAGAAATTCTAAAATATGCAGAAATATTTTATCGAGTAATTTAAAAAAATTAAATGGAAAAAAGTTTTTTTTTATAAAAATTTTCAATTTTTCTTATATTTCCAAAATCGTTTAAATTTCAACAATTTAAGGGTTTTTTGTAAATTTCTAATTTATTTTTATGATATTCATAAATTTTCCCTACCAATTTGCGTGTATTTCGGGCCTTAACTCAATTTTTAAATTTCGTCCCTGATTGCGTATGACTATTTTTAATTATTGGGTATTTTCGGTAAATTCCCTATACTTTCGAATGTATGTGGAATATTTTAAAAATTCTTGTTAAAATTTAAAGATAACACTTCGTACAAAAAATAGAAATTGTAAAAAATTTAGAAATATTTTTTGGAGTAATTTAAAAAAATTAAATGGAAAAAATATTTTTTTATAAAAATTTTAAAATTTTCTTATATTTCGAAAATCGTTCAAATTTAAACAATATAGTGTTTTTTTGTAACTTTTGAATAATTTTAATCATAATCATAAATTTCCCATACCAATTTGTGTGTATTTCGGGCTGTAACTCAATTTTTAATTTTTGCACTTGGGTGCGTATGACTATTTTTAATTATTGAGTAGTTTCAGTAAATTCACTGTAGTTTCAAAGGTATGAGGAATATTTTCAAAATTCTTTTTGAAATTTAAAGATAACACTTCGTACTAAAAATAGAAATTGTAAAATATGTAGAAATATTTTTGGAGTAATTTTAAAAAATTCAATGAAATAAAATATGTTTTTATAAAAATTTTCAATTTTTCTTAAATTTCCAAAATCGTTTAAATTTCAACAATATAGTGTTTTTTAACTTTTGAATAATTTTAATCATAACCATAAATTTCTCATACCAATTTCTGTGTATTTGGGGCCTTAACTCAATTTTTAAATTTCATCCTTGGGTGCGTATGACTATTATTAATTATTGAGTTATTTTAATAAATTAGCTGTATCTTCCAAAGTATGAGAGATATTTGCAAAATTCTTTTTGTTTTGGAAAGAAAACACATTCAACAAAAAATGAAAATTACAAAAAAATAGATTTTTGGGTTTTAAATATATATACAATTGGCAAGAAAATGAAAAAATATTTTCCAAAATTTTTTAATTTTTGTGTTTTTTTTTCTTTTTCCATCATTTTTATTTTAGTACAACTGGCGCCGTGAAGATGGCCGTCCCTTGCCAACCAATACCCAAGTCTACACTAACCGCCTGATCTTCAACAATGTACGCAAACCCGACGAGGGCCGTTACATTTGTGAAGCTTACACTGCCTCCGGATCATTGTCCACTTCCTATGCTGATTTGTTTGTCAAGCGTGAGTATCAAGACTATATGGCCAGAAATTCAAGACGTTATAGACGTCAAAGAAATTAATACCAAAGAAACAACAAAAAAAACAATCGAAATTTATATTTTTAAATACCAAACCAAAAAAAACTACAACAACAATTTTTTTATGAAGAACAAATTTTTTTTAAGAATAACAAATCAAATTTAGTTTTAAAGAAGAAACCAGAAAACTAATTTAATTGGCATGAAAGTTTTATTTTATTGAAAAAAAATATTTTTTTTTTAAAATTCTATCACCACTGATTTTACTTATTTTTTTAATATATATAATAAATGTAAAATATGTATTAAAACAACAACAACAACCAACCACCACTACCACCACACTTGTAAATAGTTTTATAACACCAACAAATACCAAAAAAAACTCAGTTTGTAAATTAACATCATTTTTTTGTAAACATTTTTCTATTGTAAAAAAATCCAACAACAACAACTGAAATTTTTTTATATAAATATATGACAACAACAAGGTGGAGGGTATATTTTATATATATTTTAAAATTTTTTGCATGCCAACATATAATAATTATGTTTTTTTTATTATTATTAATTATAACTCTTTTTGTTAACCAGTCTAAGAAACAGAAAAACAACCATTATGGCTGCCATTTAACAATTAAGTGTCCCCACCCCCTTCTATAACCAAAAAAAAAAACAAAAAAGAAAATAATTAATAAATATATTTGATTTATTAACAAATTTTTTATAAACCAAAAAATAACACCCTTTTTATTATTTTTTTATATAAGAGAACATTTAATGCATACCAGAGGTTGAGAGTTGCCACCCATCCCATGACTTTATGTTTTTTATGTGGTCTAGGGTTTTTTTTTGCAAAATCTTGGTTGCGGATTTTTTTATTGTGACACCTCCTCGCCTGCCTCGTTTGGATGTGTTTTTTTTTTTTTTTTCTTTTTTATTTTTTAAATTGTGATTTGTCCCAATTTGTTCTTATTTTGTTATTTTTTTACATACTTTCTCTTCTTCTCTATTCTATTGGCTTCTATCTTCTTCTATCTACTATTTTAATTTTCTCTTCTTCCTCTTCTTTTCTAACCATGGTATGTTGTTTCCTAATTTTTCCTCATTAACCCACAAAAAATGCTGTACCAATTCATAATCATTTAAAAAATTTAATTCCGACCAAAAATATATATCCCAATTTTCTTCACGTTTTGAGGCTAAAATTACAAAAAAAATTTTAAAAATCAAAATAAGACCAAAAAATAAATTCCGACCAAAAAAATAAAAATTCCCTATTTTTACCCAAAAAAATACCAATTTTCGAAAAATTTTTGGGGAAAAACAAATTTGTAAGCTAAATTCACAAAAAACTTGATTAAAAATCAAATTGGGCAAAAAAAAATAATTCCGACCAAAAAAAAAAAACCAAAAAAAAAAAAAATCCCCACTTTTTGCGAAATTTTGAAAAAAAAAAATTTTTTTTTTAAGCTAAAATTACTAAAAACATGATTAAAAATCACAGTAGGGCTAAAAATAAATTCCGACCAAAAAAAATAAAAATTCCCTACTTTTTACCCAAAAAAATACCAATTTTCGAAAAATTGTTGGGGAAAAACAAATTTGTAAGCTAAATTCACTAAAAACTTGATTAAAAATCAAATTGGGCAAAAAAAATAATTCCGACCAAAAAAAATTTGGAAAAAAATTATTTTATAAGCTTAAATTACTAAAAACATGAATAAACACCAAAATAGGGCAAAAAAAAATCAATTCCGACAAAAAAATAAAAAATCCCCAATTTTGAACAAAAAATCTCAATTTTTTCCCACGTAGAATTTTGGTATAAATATTATTTTTAAGCTAAAAATTACTAAAAACTTGTGTTGAATCAAAATCTAATCAAAAAAAAAATCCGACCAAAAAAATAAAAAAAAGTCCCATTTTTGGACCCAAAAAATACCAATTTTCCTCCACTTGGGCATTTTTGTTAAAAAGAAAATAATTTTAAAGCTTGAATTGCAAAAAACATTATTAAAATCATTTTCATTAAAAAAAATCATTTTCGGCCAAAACAAACAAAAATTCCCCATTTTGACCCAAAAATTCCAAACGTCCCAATTTTGGGAAATTTTGGTAAAAAAATATTTTTTTTAATGCTAAAATTACAACAAAACATGATTAAAATCAAAATATGTAAAAAAATAAATTCCGACCCAAAAAAATAAAAATTTCCCATTTTGACCAAAAATGCCAAATTATGTCCTCTAGGAAACTTTTGGTAAAAAAATTATTTTAAAGCTAAAATTACATGCTTAGAATAGTAATTTTAGCTATAAAATATTTTTTTGGGGAATTTTATTTGGTCGGAATTTATATTTTGTCCTTTTTAATTTTTTTTTTGGAAAAATAGGGATTTTTTGTTCGGATATTATTTTTGCTCACTATATAGTGAAAAAAAATATTTTATAGCTAAAATTACAAAAGATTTGATTATTTTTTATTATAAATAGGCCAAAAAATCATTTTCGACCAAAAAAAAAACTAAAAAATAATCCCCATTTTGACACAAAAATACCAATTTTTCCCCACTTTGAGAAATTTTGGTAAAAAAATTATTTTTATGCTAAAATTACAAAAAACAGCATTAAAAATAAAAATGGGGAAAAAAATCATTTTCGACCAAAAAAATAAAAATTCCCAATTTGACCCAAATTTTCCCCCATTTAAAAAATGTTGGTAAAAAATTATGTCGGAGCAAAAAAGTTACTAAAAACTTGATTAAAAATAAAAATAAGCCAAAAAAATCATTTTCGACCAAAAAATAAAAATTTCCTATTTTAAAAAAAAAATGTCCCAAATTTTTATAAATTTTGGAAATTTTTGGGACTTTTTTTTGCAAAAATGGCAAAGTAGAATGGAGTTAAAATTAAAACAAAAATGGAATCTTAGATATAGTGGTACAGCATTTTTCCAAAAAAAAACACAATAAGGTCCTCTTACTCCTTCTATCCTTCCTTCTTCTTTTCCAGCTCTTTATTTATTTATTTATTTTGTCTTACATTTATTTTTTTCATCATGCGACAAATCATGTCATTCATTTTTGTTTTAAAGTCATCACCAAATGGGGCTACATCAACAGCTGTTTACCCCAATCAGCTGTTTACCCCAGTCAGCTGTTTACCCCAATCAGCTGTTTACCCCAATCAGCTGTTTACCCCAATCAGCTGTTTTGTGTCAAAAGTTCCCCAATACATTACTTTTCAGTCAGTTTCAAACCAATTTTTTTATTAAAAATATTTTTTATTTTCAAATCATTATTCAGTCGTCAGTTTTTTTTTTTATATTCGAAAATGTAAACATATATATTTGTTTTGTATTAATAATTATAATTTAACCTCACTTTTTTATATATAAATATTTAAATAATTTTACACATACACATACATACGCACAACACTTATAAAAAATTTTTTACACACAAAGTATTTGTTTAAAATTATTATTAATTTTTATTAATAATTTTCACCACTTTCAACAGGGTTCTACTGGGTTTTTGAGTTGTTCTTAATAGGGGGGATCACACTGTAAGATTTGTAGTTAGGGGGAGATCACACGATGAATTTTGTAAAGACATATGTCTGTCTCACCTTTTTATGAGATTTTATGGGAAAAGTTATTAAAACATTATTTTTATACAAAAAAAATTGTTATCGATACTAAACTCGATTTATCGATTTTTATCGAAGTGGAATATTAGATTATTTTTGTAATATTTGATTGAAAAGTTGGTGGGTTTGGGTAGCTTGACTTATGGACATATGGAATAATATATTTTTATCCTAAAAAATCCATATATGATTACAAAATTTAGACTTATCGAAATTTATCGAAAATAAAAATTCGGAAATTGAGAATTTAGGGAGTTGGCAACTACTTTAATGAGGCTTTATATCAATTGACTGGTTTAAATGTTATTTTTAAGACAAAAATCCCCTTATGTTATCGATATTTATCAAAAAGGGAAAACTAGGTTATTTTTGTAATTTTTGATTGAAATGTTGGTGGATTTGAGTAGCTTGACTTATGGACATCTGCGAAAATGTATTTTTATCATTAAAAACCCATTTAAAGTAAAAAAATTTTGACTTATCGGAATTTATCGAAAATAAAAATTTGGAAATTGAGAATTTTGAGATCTAGCAAATAATTTTATGAGACTTTATATCAATTGAATGGGTTTAAGATTATTTTTAAGACAAAAATCCCCTTTCAGGTTCTTCAAATTTAATTTATCGATATTTATCGTAAACGAAAATTAGGTTACTTTTTGTAATTTTTTATTGAAATGTTGGTGGAATTGGGTAGCTGGACTTATGGACATTTGGGAAAATGTATTTTTATCGTAAAAAACCATGCATAGTGAAAAATTTTTGACTTATCGATATTTATCGAAAATGAAAATTCGGAAATTGAGAATATTTGGGAATTGGCAAATATTTTTTATGAGGCTTTATATGAATTGGCTGTTTTTAATATTATTTTAAAAACAAAAATCCTGTTTCAGGCTTTTAAATTTAATTTATCGATATTTATCGACAAGGAAAGTTAGGTTATTTTTGGAGTTTTTGATTGAAATGTTGGTGTATTCAAGTAGCTTGACTTATGGACATCTGGGAACATGGATTTTTAATATAAAAATACCATGTATTGTAGACATATTTTGACTTTTTATTTTTTTTTTATTTTTTTTTTAATTTTTTAATTTTATTAATTTTTTATACAACTCAAAAACCCATTATCCCCCTTATGGTAAATTATTATGGAAACAATAATAATTCATTTGTTTTGTAGCACTTTGTGTAAATAACCAATTTTGCTGTAACATTTTTCTTATTATTAAATGTTTTTGGTAAATAATATATTTGTTTTTTTTTGTAATTTACACAATAATAAGTTAAATCAGTTATTTTTCAAAAAAAAAAAATATATAATAAAAAAATTATTTTATGATTAGTCCAAAAAAAAAATTATACATAAAAATGTATATAGACATACATTATTTACCCTCATACATACAAAAAAAAACTACATACATATATTCATTTTATATATTTATTTAATTTTTTTATATATATTTATTAATTTATTTTTTTTATTGAACTATTGAATAATTTTCTCTGATTTTCTTCTTTTTTGCATATTTTCTTCTTTTATATATAAAAAAAAAACTTTTTTTAATATTAAACTATCAAACCATACGAAAAAAATATTAAAAAAAAATTATATATACCAACAAAACTCTACACATCATTCATCATCATTGTTAACCAAAAAACAAAACAAAAAACTAAACCAAAAAAAATTCCATAAAACTTAATTTTTTTTTATAAATGAAAATTTTAAAGGAGGTCACAGCGTTAATGATATACCTTGCTTGGTTCTGTATATCTGCAAAGGTGTGTTAAAATCATAATTTATGTTCTTCTATTATTTTTTCTTCTCACCACAATTTGTTGACAAACAAAAAAGTTCTAATTTTTTATTATTTAGTTGAATATTTTTTTTTAAATTTTTTCTAATTAGAAAATTTAAACATTTTAATTTTTAATTTTTTTAGCCGTTTACACGCGTAGAATTTAGTTTCGTTTTTTATTAATAATTTTTCGTAATTGGCACCAGGAAGTTTCTAGTTTTCGTAATTTTGTGTAGTCCCTAAACCCCCAAAAAAAAACATCATAGCAACAACAAGAAAATATCACTTTATCCACATTTTGTGTAACTCCATTTTGTTTTTTTCTCCATAGTATTTAAACCTTGTGTCCGTCGTGTCCCCATAAATGTGTTCTCTCACATTTGTTTTTTTTTAATTGTTGTATAATAATATAATTTACCTTGTATTTTTAGTTTGATGTTTCTTTTATTTTTTTTTAGTAAAAAACAATTTTTTTTGTTCCAAAACCCATAACAAAATCCTCCCCAAAAAATTTAGAATTAGTCACAAAAAAAAAACAGTATTAATTTTTTTTAATTAAATGGTTTTATTTTTTTTTAATTAAATTAAAAAAATGCCCACTTTATCTAGAAAATATCGTTTAATTTGTTTAATGACATTATTGCAATGCTAGCACCCTGGTTTCCCCCTTTTCAGCAATGTAAACACAGTATTTCTCGTTAAACATGCTCACTCTCAGTGTAACAGGGTGATTACAAACAAAACCAAACAAAACAGCCATCAATTGATATCACTGTTGTGTTAGCAACACAATAACAACTACAATGCAGTTAACCAACGTTTATCACTCGCAGAGCAACCGTGTGTGTATGTGAGAGAGAGAGAGGTAAACAGAGTACAGGCAAACAACCGTAGGCATTGTTATGTTAGCGTAGTATTAACAACAACAGTAACAACAAAAACGCTCGTTTCTCGTTTCCACGACAGTCGGGGGCCTACGATTCTTAACAACCCCCGAGTCTTACTCATCCAACGTCTCTCACCCCAGTCGATTGTGTGAAAGCAATAGGCTGCTGCAACAACAACAATGCGTTGCTAACGGTTTCTCCCAACTCTCACTCAGAGTAGATGGGTGGGAGAGTAACAAACAGGCAGCCGTTATGGAATGTAACTGATATTATTATTATTGTTGTTGTATTGCCAACCAACACAGTGTGGGTGGGTGGGAGAAGCAAACAATCGTAGGCATTGTTATGTTGGCGTAGTCTTCACAACAACAGTAACAACAACAACGCTATGCTCGTTTCTCGGTTTCACGGCAGTCGTGTTCTACGATCCTTAACGACCCGAGTCTTACTCGGCCAACGATTGTCATCACAGTACATTGTGTGAAAGCAATAGGGCTGCAATAACAACAATAACGCTGTACCAACGGTTTTTCCCAACACTCACTCAGAGTAGGTAGGTGGGAGAGTAACAAAGAATCAGTCGTTATTGTTGTTGTATTGCCAACCAACACAGTGTGGGTGGGTGGGAGAAGCGTACAAGCAAAACAACCGTTTATTGCATGCCATTGTTTTGTTATTGTTGTAGTATTGCCAACCACAAAAGACAAGGGATTTATATGTTGTTGTTGTTGTTGCTGTTTTCTTCTCACAGAGATGGGAGTGTTTAAAAGGTTAATTTGTTTTCAAGGTGGTTAAAAGGCATTTGAACGCATTTTTTTCAAATGCATTTAATTTCGTTGCATTTTTTGCTAATTAAATAGGTATTTTTAGATAATTTCAAAAAAAAAATATCGATATTTTTTTCACATACAAACAAAAAAAATAATAGAAAAATATTTAGAAAAAAAATCCCTAAAAAATAAAATGAAAAATAGACAAATAAAAAATTTTCATTATATTAAAAGAACAGCCTTAAAAGAAAAAGATATCGAAATAATTTTTCCTTTCCCTCTGTGTACCGAAAAATGTGGCGTTTATTTTGTCTCTCTCTCTCGCATTACCAACCTCATTTTTTGGTGTTTATTTGTGTGTCTTAGGGTTCTATAAATCGTTTATGAGAAAATTCCCACTGTGACCCCTACACTTACATTATGAGTAATTGGCATGAGTACCCCCAAAAATTGCCCCCTACACTTTTTTCTGTTTACCAATCCCTCCCCGCCCCCCTCTTGCATTTTGTTTAAATTTAAACAGTATTATTTTTGGCTTATATCTTTCTTTTTGTTATTAATTTTTTTGCTGAAAAATAAAAATTTTTTGTAACTAAATATGTTTATTTATATAATCCCCTCCGCTTCGAAAAAAAAATTTTTAAATACAACACTACCTACACACAACGATCTTTTGGGCAAAAACAAACAAAAATCTCCCAATTGTAATTTTTATAACAAAAAATGCCAAATAACCCGAACCCCGAAAAGACTATAAAACCATGAGAGAAATCATAACCAAACCACTGACACCCGATACCCCACCAGCTGCAATGACCTCCACCACCAAGCTTGGTGGTGGTCCCGCCTCGGTCTATAACACAAATAGCGGTGCCTGTTTGCCCACCGATTTCAAGTGTGTCTCCCATCCGAATACCTGCGTTGCCAAACACATGGTCTGCGATGGCATACACGATTGTACCGATCATTCGGATGAGTTCAATTGTAGTCGCAGTGAAGCGGGTGCCGCCGGCTCAACGATCAGCTTGTCCAAACCGAATTCCTCCTATAAGCGTTGGAAGAAACATAACTATCAACAGCAACACTCGATGATATCCGGCGGCATACGGAATAAAAGGAAATTCCCTTTTGTGGCCCCAAAAAGGAGAAGCACCTCCGGCATGGCACATAAGCGGCCCCTCATGGCCCCAATCAGCACCAGCAGTAGACAAGATGTTTTCCATATGAAATCGAAATTCGGTTGGTTTTAATTTTCTATACCAAAACAAAAAAAAAACAGAATTTTATTTGTTTTTTCTATGTTAATTGTGGAAAAAAGTTTTGAAAAAAATTAGATATTTGAAAAAAAACAAAAATATTTTGTACACCACACAATGCAAACTCAAAAAAAAAACAACAACGTACACCACCACAATTTTTTGTTAACGATAATCACAATTAAATTTTCTATTCTTTTTTGTTGTTGTATTTTTGTTATTTAGTTAAACAACAAAATCGAAATAGTAGGTTTGGCAATGGCATTTATTCTAAAATAATGGTAGCTAAACAAAACATGATGGCACATGGTCGAAAAAAGTCGACACGCAAATGGTTGGCAACGTGGCCAACCAAAACAACAACAAAATATAAAAATAAAAAAACACCTTTGCTTAATTAAGAATGCCCACCTCTGCAACACATGTTTTTTTGACAAAATGCAACACTGCAAACGTTTAGAGTTGGCACATAGATTGGCAACACTCTGCAAACAAAACCACTCGCAAACACACACACACGCAAAACTTCAAACACACACTGGGAACAAAATGGGAATGAACACGAGAGAGGGAGTGAGAATAAATGGGAGAAATGGATTTTAATAACAGTTTTATGTGCGTGTGTGTTTGTATGTATGTGTAACTTGAAGGAATGTTTTAATTAGGAATTGAAATCTTGTTTTTAGGAATATTAAAAAAAAAATAAAAAATATTTGTATTTGTAAAAATATAATCTAACCCTTAAAAATTCACCATAATTTTCATTATCCATTATCATCACCAGACTTGTACAAAATTAATCATGCTTTTGTTTGTGTAAAATATTTTGTAAAAACAAAGGATAATTTCTTTGCATGTGTTTGTTTATTTACTAAAATTTATTTAACTAACCTCTAATTTAGAACAAAAATAGAAAGAAAAATTCTAATTCAACCAAAATTTTGTAAATAAAAACCCCTAAATTTTAAGTAATTTTTATTATGTTTTACAGGAGACATTAATATCATCTATAAAAAATTAAAAAAAAATGAAAATTTAAAAAAAAAAATTTCGATAAATCCAATTTTACAAGGAAAATATAGAAATAAATTACAAAATTTCTAAAGAAAACTATTCTCCACATATCCAGCAATGAATTTCCGGTTAAAAAACGACGTTATGTCAAAAAATTTTTTCGATAACTTTCGATAAATGTCAATTTACTAGGAAAATACAAGAAAATTTTACAAAATTATCAATGAAAACTATTCTCCAAATACCTAGCAATAAAATTCAATTAAAAAAAACATGTTATCTCAAAAATAATTTTCGATAACTTTCGATAAATGCAATTTTACAAAGGAAATACTGAAAAATTGTACGAAAATTTTAAAGAAAACTATTCAACACAAATCAAGCAATAAAATTGCCGTTAAAAAAACGAAATTTTTCAAAAAATAGTTTTCGATAACTTTCGATAAATGCTATTTTACAAGGGAAATGCAGACAAACATTACCAAATTTCCAATGAGATTATTTGTATGTTCGTCTAGAAATAAAAATCCTATTATAAAATTAAATTGTTCAAAAAATAATTTTCGATAACTTTCGATATATGCAATTTTATAATATAAATGCCAAGAAATTTTACAAAATTTTCACATAAAACATTGCTCTGCATATCTAACAATAAAATTTCCGTTGGAAAAACGACGTTATCTCAAAAATAATTTTCGATAACTTTCGATAAATGCAATTTTACAAAGGAAAATAAAGAAAAAAATACAAAATTTACATAGAAAACTTTTCTCCACATACCTAGCAAAAAAAAATTGCGTTTCAAAAACGACTTAATTTCAAAAATAATTTTCGATAACTTTCGATAATTGTAATTTTACAAAGTAAGTGCAGAAATATTATACAAAATTTTCGCAGCGATTAGTTATAGGCATATTTAGAATAAAAATTACAGTAAAAAAACAACATTTTTATAAAAACAAATTTCGATAACTCTCGATGAATGCAGTTTTACAAATGAAAATGTAAAAAAGTTCAACATAATTATCAAAACGAATATTTATTTGCACATATAGAAACAAAATTGTAATTAAAATGCGAAATTTTTCCAAAAAATACTTTTCGATAACTTTCGATAAATGTAATATATAATACAGGATATATTACAAAATGCTGCAAAATTTTCAATGGGTATAATTTATTTGTACGTTTTCGTATTTGCTTTAGTTTGGAATAAGTTTAAAAGCATTTTATTCACAATATTCGACTTATCGAAATTTATCGAAATAGATTTTCTTCAATTTTCGGCTAGTTTGTGAAAAATTTCTTTTCAAATTTTATTAAATCTATTTATTAACTATTATTTCAAAATGATTAATATGCATATTTTCCATTAAATTCCACTTATCGAAATTTATCGAAAATAGTGTTACGATTTTTTGGCACTTTTTGCTTAGATTTGTATTGAATCATTCTAAAATCCATTAAAAACCGTGAATGCTTTAGTTTCCGATATGTTTAAATGCATTTTATTGACAATTTTCCACTTATCGAAATTTATCGAAATAGATTTTTTGGATTTTTGCATAGTTTTTATTAAAATTCTGTCAAAATTTCCTTAATATTTGTATTTGCTTTAATTTCCGGTTTATTTAAAGACACTTACTTCGTAAAATCCCAGTTATCGAAATTTATCGAAAATCGTTTTATGGTTTTTATGCAATATTTTGGAAAATTTTTGTAAACATTCATTAATTATCGACTTAATGGAAGTTTTCAGATTATATTAATGTCTCCTTTAAAACATTTTTTTCCAAATTTGAAAAAAAAGTTTTTTTTTTAAATCTAAGGTGTTGGGTTTATATTCAAAATTATTTTTAAAAAAATTCTATAAACATATCTCCTTAAAACCAGTAATTATTTGTATTTTAAAAAAATTTCGTATATGTTGTGTAATTTAGTTGAAAAAAATTATATGAAAAAAAATGTATTGATCATTGTTTGTTTGTCTTATCGAACTTCTCAAAATTATTGCTTTACAAAAAAATCGCTAACAATATTTATGTTTATTTTTATGTATTTTTCACCTTCTCTTTCGTACCAAAAACAAAATCCAAATCGAAATCCAAACCATGGCTAAAAAAAAATATTCGCACCAACCAAAATTATGTCGAAATTCTTCACCCTGAACGTTGTCTATGTGATCTCATCCTGTGTCTGTGTAATGCTGTGAAATTTCATCATCAAAAAAAAAAAAAAAATATTTAAAAAATCTTTCGAATCGAAACATGTGATCCATCGTCCATCATCATCAACAACAACAAAATCGAAAAAAAACACCACGAATTTTTCTCAAACAAAAAAAAATGTTGCTGAATCCGAAATCTTCAAAACCAAACCGAAAATATCCTAACCCAAAAATTTTTTGTTCCACTCAATTGGCTCCGAAACAAATTTTTGTTGTGATTTCTAACTGCGTTGTATCCTGGAAAAATTCAAAATCCAACCACGCACACACACACATCCATGTCCACATGCACAAAACCTCACAACCCACCACCACCACCCACACACAAATCTCTCAAAACCACCACCACCAACAACAACAAATAATTGGTTCTACAACAAAAAAACAAATTGCAAAATTTAAAACAAAATCAAACATGTTAACAACAAACAGCCGTTTATCCTCCGGCCCCACTTCCACACTATTCCACCACCACGCCACGTCATCGTGACTTAAGTTTGAAATTGGATCAGCAACATTCGAATTTGCGCGTTGGCGAATCCACCGAAGTGGAGTGCTATTCCTCCGATAACAGCTACACCGATGTCGTTTGGGAGAGAGCCGATGGTCGGCCATTGCCATTACATATTAAGGTGAGTGAAAAACAATAGAAAATTTTATCGATAATTTATCGATTTTCGATAAATCAATAATTTATCGATTTTCGATTAATCAATGATTTATCGATAAATCCATGATTTATCGATTTTCGATAAATTGATAATTTATCGATTTTGAAATAAATCGATCATTTATTGATTTTACGATAAATCGATCATTTATCGTTTTACGATAAATCGGTCATTTATTGATTTTTAGATAAATCGATCATTTATTGATTTTTAGATAAATCGATCATATATTGATTTTGAGATAAATCGATAATTAATCGATTTCGAGATAAATCGATAATTTATCGATTTCGAGATAAATCGATAATTAATCGATTTGGAGATAAATCGATAACATATCGATTTCGAGATAAATCGATAATATATCGATTTCGAGATAAATCGATAATTTATCGATTTCGAGATAAATCGATAATCAATCGATTTTGAGATAAATCGATCATTTATCGATTTTGAGATAAATCGATAATTTATCGATTTTTGATAAATTTATTTTCATTAAATGCTTTATTATAATTTTAAAACTTTTCAATTATAAATTCGATAACATTTTATTATAAATTGTATAATTTATCGATTATTACGAGTTATCGAATTTCGTTAAATTCTTATTTGCTTCGAAATAATGTGTATTTTTTAACCTATTTGATAAAATTCTGATTCTAGATCATTTTTAAATCATTTATCAAACGATAACTATGACTTATCGAAATCGATAATTCGTAAATTTTCAATATATTTAATTTAAATGGCAATTTTAAACAGCATATAGTTGTTTTAAACGTTTTAATAATAAATTCGATGAAATTCTATTAAAAATTGAATTTCTTTATCGATTATTACGAGTTATCGAATCTCGATAAATCCTTAATTGCCTTGGAATAATGTCTTTTTTTACCTATTTGATAGCATTTTAGTTCTTGATCATTAATACGTCATTTATCAAGCGATAACAATGATTTATCGAAATCGATAATTAATAATTTTTCGATAAATTGCATAAAAATACGATAAATTCAATTTTCTCTTTTAAATACTTACGCAATACGAATATGTTAACAATTTCAGGAAGTATTTATTAATTTTTCTTATAAACCATTCAAATTATCGATAAATGTTGAGTTATCGAATTCCATTAAATCGATTTTACTTTTGAAAATATGTATTAATTTGATCAAATTTAGCATATTTGTAATAGATAATGGTTAAAAGTAATTATTCTAGTAAAAACACTGGATTTATCGATAATTATCGAATTTCGATAAATCAATTTTTCAATTGAAAATATGAATTTAATTTATCAAATTTGAATTTATATTATATATTTGAAATAGAAAATCATAAAAAGTCATTTTTCGATCAAGAACTGCAATTTATCGATGAGTTATCGACCCCATTATTGAGTTATCGACCCAAAAAATCGGATTAAAAATTAATTCTAAGTATAATTAATAAATTTTGATGAAAATATAAATTAATGTTTTTTGAAAATCGTTAAAATATCGATAAGTTTTGAGTTATCGATTTTCGATAAATCGGAAATTATGTTCTTTTTTGCAAAATTTGCGAATATTAAACTGAGAGATTTATTAGAAATTACTTTTTGAGCGATAAATTTGATTTATGGAAATCGATTATTGAGTTATCGTTATCGATAAAAATCGATTCTATTGAAAATTGTCATAAAAATTGTATATTTTTATTTATAAATTAATAAATTTTAATTATAAATCCTTTTTTATCGATAAATTTATCGTTTATGGAATTATCGTTATCGATAAAAATCGATTTGTATCGAAATTGATCATTGCAATTGTATGTTATTAATAATATATTATTAAATTTGACATATAAATGATTTTTAACGAAAAATTTGGATTTATTGAAATCGATTAGTAGGGCAAATGTTATCGATAAATACAATTTTTGGTAAAAATTTAATTTTTTTGATACAATTCATTTTTTGCACATATTTTATATATATCTCTTGTTATACTTCGATAACTTTGTGTTATCGACTTTCGATAATTATGTGAAATTTAATATTTATGTTCTTCCCTTTAGCAAATCGGCAATCGTTTGATCATCAACCATGTTACACCCGCCGATGCTGGCAACTATCTGTGCAAATGCAAGACCGACGAGGGCGACCTCTACACCACCAGCTATGAATTGGCCATCGAAGCCAATACCCATGAATGGAAACATCCCAAGATTGAGCATGCCGATGTGGGATCTGCCGTGAAGTTGCACTGCGATGCTGAGGATGGGCATCTTTCGCCCCATTACAGATGGTCACGCCAGTACGGACAAATGCAAATGGGCACGGATATTTTAAGTGTAAGTAGATATGGTGGCAACCCTGGGGAAAATGGGGATTTTAAATTATTTTTCGGGATTTTCAGGATACTTTGAGCCTGCAAAATGTTCAAGCCAATGATGCCGGTACCTATGTGTGCACAGCCACCGCTCCCAATGGCGAATCGGTGGATTATCCCACAATTCTGGTTGTGACCGGTGCCATTCCGCATTTCCATCAGGAACCCCTGAGCTATATGTCCTTCCCCACGCTGCGTGATTCCTATGTTAAATTCAACTTCGATATTACATTCCGCCCAGAACAAGGTGATGGTCTGTTGCTCTTCAACGGCCAGAAGCGTGGCAATGGCGATTATATTTCCCTCTCCCTGAATGACCAGTATCCCGAATTCCGCTTCGATTTGGATGGCAAGACGATGATTGTTCGTGGCGAACAAGCCTTGGAGTTGAATGAATGGCACACCATTAGGGTTCATCGTTTCCGTCGTGATGGTTACATGCAGGTCGATGGTCAACATCCGATTGCCTTCCCCACTTTGTCCGCCTCCTCCTCCCTGGATTTGGTTGAAGATTTGTATTTGGGTGGTGTACCCAGCTGGGACATTTTACCCGATGAAGCTATTGAACAACAGGTTGGCTTTGCCGGTTGCATTAGCCGTTTGACCCTGCAGGACAGCATTATTGAGCTGATGAAAGAGGCCAAGATGAAGGAGGGCATTACCGCATGCAAGCCTTGCGATACCAACCCTTGCTCGAACAGCGGCATCTGCCTGGAGTCGCAGACTGAAATGGGTTATACCTGCGTGTGTCAACAGGGTTGGACAGGACGCCACTGTGCCATTGAGGGTACTCAATGTACCCCGGGTATTTGCGGAACTGGACGTTGTGAAAACACCGAAACTGGCATGGAATGTTTGTGTCCCCTCAACAAGACCGGCGATCGCTGTCAGTACATCGAACATTTGAATGAGAACAGTTTGGCGTTTAAGAAGAACAGCTTCGCTGCCTATGGGTAAGTTATCGGGAGCTATCGAATTTTCAGAAACTATACTTAATAATCCCCCATTTTTATCAATTTCTTCCAGTACCCCCCGTGCCTCCAAGCTCAACATCAAATTCCAAATCCGACCCAACACCCTTGAAGATGCCGTTCTCCTCTATGCCGCCGAATCTCGTCTACCCAGTGGTGATTATGTGGCCGTCGTCTTGCGTAACAAACATGTCGAACTGATCATCAATACCGGTGCCCGTTTGAAACCGGTTGTTGTGAGGTCGCTGCATCCCTTGCCCGCAAACAAATGGACCGAAATTGAAATTGCCCGCCGTTTCGGTGAAGGCATCTTGCGGGTGGGCACTGATCCTGAACAGAAGGCCAAGGCAGCGGGAGCCGCCAGAACCCTATACATTAAGACCCCCATGTATATTGGCGGATTCGATCATGAAAAGATCACGCTGAATCGTGATGTGAATATTACACAAGGTTTCGATGGTTGTATATCGAATGTAAGTAGGCAAAAAATTTCGGATTTTAGTCATTTTTAACAATATTTTTGATTACAGCTCTACGAGGGCCAACGTCAATTGAATCTGATTGCCGATATCCAGGATGCTGCCAATATTCAAAACTGCGGCGAAATCAATGAAATCGAACAAAACGAAACCTTTGACAACGATGTCGAACAGAATGCCTGCTCTAGTGATCCCTGTGAAAATGGCGGCACATGTGTGGTAGAAAACGACGAGGCCGTTTGTTTGTGTAATATCGGCTTTGCCGGCAAACATTGTGAAGATCGTAAGTTTGGAATGGAAAAAAATGATGGAATATTTTTTTAAATAAAAAATTCCCTATCCTAGATATTTCCCTACAATTCGATGCCAATTTCCATGGTAATGGTTATTTGGAACTGAATCGTTCCCAGTTCGATGAACAGGTTGAACAGAAATTCTCCAGTGCTGCCATGGTCTTTTCCACAACCGCTCCCGATGGTTTGCTGTTATGGTGGGGTCAACCCAAGGGTGAGGCCTACACGGGACAAGATTTTATGGCTGTAGCCATTGTTGATGGTATTGCCGAATTTGCATTCCGTTTGAATGGCGAGGAGAAGGTCATACGCAACCCCGATAAACGTGTCGATGATGGTATCCGTCATATTCTGTTGATTAAACGCACGGATAATACGGCCATTTTGGAATTGGATCATATCTTGTATGCCGATGAGACCAAGGATACGGGTAAAGATACAATGAGCCTGCCGGGACATGTGTTTATTGGTAAGTCAGGAGATTTGGATTTTTTTAAGGAAAGGGATTTTTAATTTTATTTTTCCTTTAGGTGGCGCTCCCAATCTCGAATCCTTTACCGGTGGCCGTTACAAGCATCACTTTAACGGTTGTGTACGAGTTGTTGAAGGTGAAGCTAGCGGTATCATAGAAGTAGGCAAAGTAGCTATAAGCGGTAACAATGTTGACACCTGTCCAAAGTAAGTATCAATTTTTTTAATCTCTCCTCCTATCTCCCTCTAAAAAAATATTTATTTTCTCTCATGCTGCCAAAAACAAAAAAATCAGGAACTGGATACCCTCTAGTTTAGTTGATAATGATTTATTTATTAAAAATGAATTCCACTTCGATCCCAATATGTTTGATGATTTCGATCAACCTCCGCCGGTACACATAATGTATCCTCATCCTCCATTTTCGACAATTCTGACAAGTGGTTCCTCTCTGCATTCTTGTAATTTTTTCTATAATTTTTATTCATCACATCCTCCACGGAGATCTCTTCATCATCACCACATATCAAGTTTGGGTTTAATTATGACAATTATGTGTCATCTATTGGAATCCATGGTGCTGAGTAGGGGGAATTTTATGTTATTTTTTAAAATCTCCCTAAAAACATAAAGAATGGGAATTTAGAGGAGGAAATAACCGAAAAAGTCCATAAAAGTCAATTTTCCCACAATTTCTTTAAGGTTGGTAAAAATATGGCAACACTAGAGAAATAAAAACGACCTAAACGCCTTACACAGGCATTCAAAGAGCGTCAATGGGGTGTAAAAACGGCCTAAGCAACGGTTGGCTGACGCCGTTACTGTTTTCATTGTGCTTTGATTTCATCACCTCCCGTTATTTCACTCTCTCTCTCACATACACATAAATGACAATGGTAGGTGATGTCATTGTAGCGGTTTTTTTTGGTAACACGTGATTGCAATGTTTACATTCATTCTCGCTTTCTCTCTCCCATCTCCCTTTCTTATTGGAATTGTTCAGTGTGGCCAATTTAACTTTTTTTCGCTTTGGATTTTAATTAAAAAATCCCTTTATTTTACCAATCTTAAAATGAATCACATTTTTGGGAATAAAAAAATCATAAAAACCAACACACTCTCATATCCAAAAATAAATATCATTTAAATATATAAGGCATTTGTAACATATCATAAATATTTATAGGAAAAATATAAAAAAATATTAATTATTAAATTATAGCAAAATATCCATAATTGTTATAGCAAATAAAAACAATGAAAATAGCTAAGCTTTTAATAAAATTATTAAGTATTGTTATTAAAATGTTGAGGAGTTATTTTATTTATTTATTTTTTTTTTTTTAAATAGAAAAAAAAAACAAAAAATAGTTTTAAATGATTTAAAATATATTTAAAACAAAATAATTTTTTTAACATGCATTTTTAACTTCCAAAAAAAAAAATATTTTTGAATTAATTTTTTTTTTATTTGAAAATAAATGTTATATTCAATCAAAAAATGATTTAAAAAACAAAATTATTTTTATCAAAAAATTATTATTAAAAAATTATTTTTATTTCAAAAAAAGGAAAAGGGAATTTGTTAATTACTAAAAAAATAATAAAAAAAAATATTTTTTTAATTTTTTCAAAATAAAATTTGTTTCCAAAATATAATTAATAAGCATTTTTAACATGAATTATTTTTTTTTCGAAATTTTCGAAATAATTCCATTTAAAAAAATTTTTTTCAACAAATTATTTTTTCTTAATCTTTCAATAATCATATAACAGAATTCATTCTGAAATTAAAATTTTAATTTTGCAAAAAATTATTTTTTTTAAATTGTTTTTAAATTTTTTTTTTAACAAATTAAACTTTTTTTAATAAAATAACTTAAAAAATTTTATTAGCCATTTTCAACATGAATATTTTTATATCTTTTTATTGAAATACAAATTAGATTTTTTCAAAAAATTATTTAAAAAAAAAATCCAAAATTATTAAAAAAATAATAAAAAAAATATTTTTAAAGACATATTTTTTTAATTTTTCCGAAATAAAATTTGTTTCCAAAATATAATTAAAAAGCATTTTTAACATGAATTAATGCTTTTTTCGAAGTTTTCGAAATAATTCAAAAAAAAAAAATTTTTTAATTTTTTTTAACAAATTATTTTTTCTTAATATTTTTTTAAACTTATAAATATTCAATAATCATTTTAAACAGAATTCATTCTGAAATTAAAATTTTAATTTTTCAAAAAATTATTTTTTTTAAGTCAAAAAATTTTTTTTTGGAAATTAAATATATATTTTTTTAATTTTTTAACAAATGAAACTTTTTTAATAAAATAACTTCAAAATTTTTGTTAACCATTTTGAACATGATTTTTATATATATATATATATATATATTTTTTTTTTTTTTGAAATACAAATTATATTTTTTCAAAAAATTATTTAAAAAAATACAAAATTTTTTTCAAAATTATTTTATAAAAATCCAAAATTATTTTTTCAAAAAATTATTTTAAAAAATCGTATTTTCTTTTTTTTTGTAAAAATTATATTTTTTCAATTTTTTTTTCAAAATCTAAAAAAAATTAAGCAAAGAAATACGTTCCTTTGGTATATTACTGCCTCTGATTTGATTTTAATTGTTATCTCAAAAAGTGTACTATTACAATAACTAAGATATTATAATAAATAAAATATTATTAAATAAAAAAATTAAATTAAAAAAATATATATCTTATAAAGCGCTGTGAAATAAATCAATAATTGATATTATAGCATAATGTATGTGTATTATATATAAAATTAAGAAGAAAAAAATAATAAATTTGAGAAAATATGACATATTTTTAAAATTTATTTGAAAATATTTTTTTATTATTATTATTTATTTTTTAAAATAATAAATATATTTTAAAATAATTTTTAAAATGTGGCAACTCTTGAGAAAAAAAACGACCTAAACGCCTTACATAAACTTTCAAAGAGCATCAATGGGATGTAAAAACGGCCTAAGCACGGTTAGCTGACGCCGTTACTGTATTCAACTGTGCTTTGATTTTATCTCTTCCCGTTATTTCACTCTCTCACACACATAAATGGCAATGTTAGGTGCTGCCATTGTAGCGGTTTTTTTTTGGTAACACATGATTACAATGTTTACATTTGTTCTCTCTTTCTCGCTTTCATCCCCCTGTCTTATTGGAATTGTTTATTATATTTTAAAATAATTTTTATTTATTACTTTGTCAAAAATTATTTTTATATTTTTTTATATATATATTTATATTTTTATATATTATATATTATATTTTTATTTTTTTATTTTTTTTATAATTTTTTATACCCTCCACCATAGTATGGAGGGTATATTAATTTTGTCATTCCGTTTGTAACTCATCGAAATATTCATTTCCGACCCTATAAAGTATATATATTCTTGATCAGGGTAAAATTCTAAGACGATCTAGCCATGTCCGTCCGTCCGTCTGTCCGTCCGTCCGTCTGTTGTAATCACGCTATCTTCTGAAGGAATTGAGATAGGATGCTGAAATTTTGCATAGGGTTGTCTTTTGTCTGCAGGCAGGTCAAGTTCGAAGATAGGATATATCGGTCCACGTTTAGACATAGCTCCCATATAACAGTACCCCCCAATTTTCGGTATTTTGAGGTTCTTGGGCGCGTTTTTCAACCGAATACGCTGAAATTTGGTACATTGGGTTCTTATTGGGTACTTAATGTCCCCACAAAAAATTATAAATATAGGTCCACTTTTTCTGGTAGCCCCCATATAACGGTACCTCCTAATTTTCAGTATTTTGGGGGTTTTGATTGTATTTTTCCACCGAATTGGCTATAATTTAGTATTTCGAGTTCTTAATATGTACCAAATCTCTCCACAAAAAATTATAAACATATGTGAATTTTTTCGGATATCCCCCATATAAGGGTACCCCCCCATTTTCGGAATTTTGGGGTTCTTGAGCGCGTTTTTCAACCGAATACGCTGAAATTTGGTACATTGGGTTCCTAATAGGTTCCAAATCTCTCCACCAAAAATTATGAATATTGGTCCATTTTTTCGGATAGCCCCCATATAAGGGTACCCCCAATTTTCGGTATTTGGGGGTTCTTGAGCGCATTTTTCAACCGAATTTGCTGCAATTTGGTAATTTGTAGTCGTATATGGTAACAAATCTCTCTACCAAAAATTTTTAATATTCACCCCCTTTTTGGGGTAGTCCCCATATAACCCCCTTTTTTATATTAAAATAGTTATCTGATTTGTTCCGCGTTTTGAGTTTGGTTCTAAGTCTCTTTTATAATCATTTCACCTGCGGAGGATAGAGAGATAAACAATTAGAACGTAAGGTTCGATAATTAACTATAGCCGCATTTAGACCTAGCCCCTGATTGGAAGTTCGAGAATTTGAACTAAGCTTGGAAGAAATAATAAGATGGGCAAAGTTTGGATGAAATCTAAATTTTCTGAAACGGATTTGGTCCAAAGAAACATGGGGTCTAGAACCAATATTTCGATGAGACACATTTTCACCGTGTTAAAGTCTATACACCCTCATTAGCCATAAGGCTGAGAGTATAATTATCCTTTAAAATTTTCTAAAATTTTTAATTATGGTTTACATAATCCGTTTTTAGAAATGTCGGTATAGGTCCACTTTTTGGTATGTTCCCTATATTTTCATTTCTAGTACCTGTCAATATATCTATGGTGGAGGGTATCCAAAGTTCGGCCCGGCCGAACTTACCGCTTTTTCACTTGTTTTTTTTTAATTTTATATTAATTAATTATTTTATTTTTTTATAAATTTTAATTATTTTTATTTTATTTTTTCTTTTTTTAGTGCGGATGAGGATGTTGATTTCGATGGTACCGAGCCCCCAGTCGTTTAATAGTTTTCGTTTTTTTTTTCCAGTAGTTAAAAAAATTATTATTTTATAATTTTTCTTAAAAAAAAAACAACAACTTGGATAAAAAAATACTGCACTTTTGCAAACCAAAAAAAAAAATTAACTACGAAGAAAAAAATTAACTCAAAATCAAAAATTAAAATTTTAAACAAAAGAAACAAAAAATCCACTAATTTAGTTTCCAATTTTTTTATGAAATAAAAAAAAACAAAAATAAATATTAAGCCAAAACTAACTAAACAACAAGAAAAAAATATGAAACTAATTTAAAAAAACAAACAAAACGAATCCAAATGTGTCATATATATATTTTTAATGATAAGTGAGTGAAAAAGAATAACATATCGCGCCAATTTCCTGCTACCCCCAAAACCCTTACGAACGAAATATGAACAAAATATAGAAATAAATGGATAATGCACAAACAAATAAAAAAAAATCTATAACACGCTTAACAACAATGCAGCATATTGATATAACAAAACCTTGCATGCAATATATCCCACATACTGGCCTCTATAAATAATGGTTACAAAAAATAAATTTACCAAAAAAAATAATTACAAAATTCCCAGAATTCTCAATTCTTCTTCCTCCTCTTCTCATCCACAATCTCTGCCTATTTTTTATACTCAAAAAAATGAATTTTTTTCTCTTTAAAAAAATAGAATTCCATTACAAAAAAATTCGCTTAAATGTGTGCTTCCTTTTTTATTATTATATAATAATTAAATATAATTTTATTAAGCCATTTTTTAAAAATAATATTATAAAAATAAAAAATACTAATTTAATTTTTACCATTTTATTTTGTATTTTAGTTTCTTTACACATACATATATATTTTTTGTAAATGTTAAATCACAAAAAAAAAGAAACTAAACAAAAATATATAAGAGAAGAAACAAAAATGGTATATAATAAATAAGAGAAGCAAGTAAAAATAAAAAATATATATATAAAAATCCCAATACAATTGTAATAACACATAAATAAAACAACTATTGTAAAAAGTTTGTTAAGTATAGAAAATAAAAGAAGCCAAATTATTAAAAAAAAAATACTTAAAAATGAGGTTGTTTTACTTAAATTAAGAAAAATACATTGAAAAGGAGGATTTATAACAAGCGAATTTCCAAAATTTATGCATTTTCATTAAGTACACAATTTTTCCTTCAATTTGCAACATTTTTGGCGGTGTGGTGAATTTCCATAAAAACTCACCACACCTCAAAAATGGCAAAAAATGCATAATAAACTACTAATAAATCGATATGGGTACTTCAAAAATTATTTGAAAGGATTTAATTACTTTTTAGACTCAAATAATAGTAAAAAATGGGGTCAATGTAGGGCTTTTAGTTAAAATCCACGTAAATCTTTTGCATTTCTGTCATATAAAATGAATTTCCTTTAATTTGCCACATTTTTGGCGGTGTGGTGAATTTCCATAGAAACTCACCACACCTTAAAAACAACTGGAAATGCATAATAAACTACTAATAAATCGATTTGGATACTTTAAAAATTATTCGGATGAGTCTAATAGGTATTTAGACCCACATAGTACTACAAAATTCGTAATTCGGCGACGGTGGGTCGATTTTAAAGCAAAAAATGGGGCCAAATATGACTTAGCAGTTGCAATTTGTTGAAATCAGTTGCATTTCTGTCATATAAATTGAATTTCCTTTAATTTACAACATTTTTGGCGGTGTGGTGAATTTCCATAAAAACTCACCACACCTCAAAAATAACAGAAAATGCATAATAAACTACTAATAAATCGATATGGGTACTTTAAAAATTATATCGAAGGGTTTACTTACCTTTTAGACCCACATAAAAATTTCATTAATCGGTGATAGATGGTCGATTTTTAAACAAAAATGGGGTCAAACTTGGTTTAGTAGTTACAATCATTTTAATTCTTTCGCATTTCTGTTATATAAATTGAATTTTTCTTAATTTGCGACATTTTTGTTGGTGTGGTGAATTTCCATAAAAACTCACCACACCTCAAAAATAGCTAAAATGCATAGTAAACTACTAATAAATCGATTTGGGTACTTTAAAAATTATTTGAAAGGGTTTAAGTAGCTTTTGGACCCACTAAATAATACAAAATTCGTCAATCGGCGAAGTTCGGTCGATTTTAAAACAAAAGGGGTTAAATCTGGTTTAGTAGTCGCAATTTCTTTAAATTAGTTACATTTCTGTCATGAAAATTTAATTTTCTTTAATTTCCAGCATTTTTGGCGGTGTGGTGAATTACCAAGAAAACTCACCACACCTACAAAATTGCTGGAAATGCATAATAAACCACTAATAAATCGATTTGGGTACTAAAAAAATGCTTTGGAAGGGTTTAATTAACTTTTAGACCCACATAATACAACAAAATTCGTTAATCGTCGACGGTAGGTTGATTTTAAAACAACAATTGGGTCAAATTTGGCTTAGCAGTTGCAATTTGTTTAAATCAGTGGCATTTCTAATATATAAAATGAATTTCCTTTAATTTGCAACATTTTTGGCGGTGTGGTGAATTTCCATAAAAACTCACCACACCTAAAAAAATAGATGTAAATGCATAATAAACCACTAATAAATCGATTTGGGTACTAATAAAATGTTTTGGAAGGGTTTAATTAACTTTTAGACCCCCATAATAATAACAAATTCGTTAACCGGCGATGGTGGGTCGATTTTACGGGAAAATGGGGCCAAATTTGGTTTTGTAGTAGCAATTTTTTTAATCGGTTACATTTCTGTCATATAAAATAAATTTTCTTTTTATTTGCAACGTTTTTGGCGGTGTGGTGAATTTTCTTTTAAAACTCACCACACCTAAAAAATAACTGAAAATTTAATTTAAAATGAAAATGAACATGTTTAAGTACTTTAAAAATTATTTTGGTGTCTGGAAATTAATTTTACACCCACATAAATTTTTACCCAGAATTAAAATTTTACACCGATAATTAAAGGAAAAAGGTAGGTCAAACAATGGTTTTTAGTTAAAATTCACTTAAATATTATTCATTTCACTTATACAAAATTGTTGAAGTACTTTGTTTAAACAATTAATATTTTGTAATTATATAAGCAACCTTAGCATTCAAGTTTTTTCCTGTATATAAATACCTAATTGTAACTTGTACTTTTACTTCAATAAAATATTCAATTCAATAGGTTATGGGCCCTCCATAAAAAAAAATTAAAAAAAAATAATTTGACAAATTTGAAAAAAAGGAAAATTCTGGAATTGTGAAATTAGATTGAATCATGGAGTTTAGCAAGACCATCAAGCCGTTAACAGGAGAATCCGATTGGGCGATCTGGAAGAGGAAAGTCAAAGATCTTCTGGATTTTTATGAAGGAGCTCTGGATGTGGTTTCAAGGAAAATTACAAAGCCAGAACCCTTAAGAGATGGATCAACTGATGCTGTCGTAAAGGATTACAACACACGATCTGCGTTCTACAGGAAAACGAACAGTCTTGCCAAAACCCTCATTACCAGTACCATATCTGATGATGTATATCTAAAAGTAATGGACAAAGAATCGGCTGCTGATATTTGGGAAGCATTAAATCAACAATTTGAGGCAACATCCAAGGACCAACTTTTCAAGATGTGTACAGAACTTTTTTCGTTTGTGTGGGTTGAAGATTTAGATGTTTCTACACACATTTCAAAACTTAAAAGTCTGTGGACAGAGATTAACGCTGGTTTAGAATTAAAAGGTAAAGAAAAACTTCCTGAACTGCTTCTTATTTGCAAGATTTTGCATGTGCTACCACCATCGTTCAAAATGTTTAAATCGAGTTGGATGATGATGACTCGTGATGAAGATAAGTCCTTAGACGAACTTATTATGCAGCTATGTCTATATGAACGCAATTTCAAGAAGCCTGAGAATATTGAAGAGCAAGAAGCTTTAGTTGTCAATGAGAAATACTTCAAAAGTAAGAAGGTAATTACAAAGAACGACAGTATTTGCCATTATTGTAAGAAGAAAGGCCACTGGATAAAGGAATGTCGCAGGTGGATTGCAGACGGCAAGCCTTCTAAATCGAAGCAAACTATAGACCATACAAATGTTGCGCTTCATGCGATGACAAGTGAAGTGAATATGGCAGATTCAAGTTCGGAATGGTGGTTTGATAACGGTGCAACGAAGCACGTTACCAATTCAAAGCGGTATTTTGTGAAATATGAAGAATTTGAACAACCAAATTCTATACAATCTGCAGGAAAAGAGTGTTTAAGAGCTATTGGGAAGGGACAAATAGAGATGCTATCGAAAATCAATAATATGGAAAAGATTGTAACCTTTAACGATGTATGGTATGTGCCAACTATATCGCGAAATCTTTTTTCGATTTTAGCTGCACATGACAGAAATCCGAATAGCAAATTTACATCTACCATGAATGAATGCAAATTTTACGTTAATGGAGAACTTATGGTAGAGGGTCAACGAGATATCAATGGCAGTCTGTACAAGCTAAATGTCCGTCCAAAGTCACACACCCAGAATATTTCCCTACTTGAAGAAAAGTCATTGTTACAGTTATACCACGAACGCTGGGGTCGTCAAGACTATCGCCATGTTAAGATGAAGCTTCAAAAGGAAATGGGAATCATAGTGAAGGATACAAGTGAAAATTGTGAACCATGCATTTTTGGAAAGTCTTCTAGGAAACCTTTTGGCAGACGCGATCCTGCTAGTGAGCCTGGTGAAATAGTATCAACAGATGTATGTGGCCCTTTTCCACCTTCATTCAAAGGATACAGGTATCTTCTAGTATTTAAAGATCACTACACGAAATATCGATATGGGTATTTCTTAAAACAAAAGTCCGAAGTAAAAGATTCGTTAAAAGAAATGCTGATGCATGCAAAATGTCAAGGACATACTGTTAAAACTTTAATTAGTGACAACGGTGGTGAATTTGAAAACGATGATGTAAGGAAAATTCTTGCTCAGCATGGGGTTACCCATAAGTTGACTGCTCCATATACCCCTCAGCAAAATGGGTGTGCTGAAAGAGAGAATAGAACTATCGTAGAAATGGCAAGGACTTTTAAATATGCCAATAAAGAAATCGAGTTTCCAGAATCTTTATGGTGTGAGTTTGTAAAATCAGCAATATATATTTTAAACAGAACCGGAATGTCATCTGAAGCAGATATTAGCCCATTCGAAAAATGGTATGGTAAGAAACCAAGAATTCGACATTTTCGAATAATAGCGTCGACGTGTTATATACACATTCCAAATCAAAAACGGAAGAAGATGGACAAAAAGGCTGAAAAGGGATATTTGGTAGGATACGATGGAGATGAGCGGTATCGTATTTACATACCAGAAAAGAGAGCGGTCCATGTTTCGAGAGATGTTAAATTTGTAGAGAAAACAAATAATACTAGTTTGAAACAAGTAGAATGCAAAGTAAATCCCGCTAATAATGAAAAATATTTAGATTTGTCCAAGATTGAAAGTTACAATGATTTCATTCAGGATGAGGAAATTCAAAATAGTTTGAATGAAGAGCCGAATCAAAACGTAGAATATGAACAAATAGTGGAAGATTATCCAAACATAGAAGAACAGAACGACGAAGATAATTTCGAAGGAAGTACATATTCTGACAGTGATTTTGAAGATGCTTTGCCAGAAAGCAACAATAGACAAGATTTTGAAGAAGAAAATCTCAAGTATAAGATATTAAGAAATAGAAAGGTCATAATTTCAAATACCACACATGACGAATTGGCTATGATATCTCAAGAGTTTGTTAATAGCATAGAAACTCCAAATTCGTATTCTGAAGCTACTAAAAGTGACCAAAGATCAGAGTGGTTAGCTGCCATGAAAAAAGAAATGAATTCGTTGATTGAAAGCAAAACTTGGGAACTTACTGAACTTCCGAAAGGCGCCAAAGCTCTCCCATCAAAATGGGTTTACAAAATAAAAACTAAAGCAGACGGCAGTGTGGACAAATACAAGGCAAGACTTGTTATCAAAGGGTATAATCAGACAAAAGGGATTGATTATGACCAAACTTTTAGTCCGGTAGCAAGGATGTCCACAATTCGAGCTCTCTTGAGCGTAGCTGTGGCAGAAAAGATGCACTTAGCACAGTTTGATGTTTCAACTGCTTTCCTTTATGGAGAGTTGGATGAAACTATATTTATGAAACAGCCAAGAGGATTTGATGATGGTACAAATAGAGTTTGTTCTCTGAAAAGAAGTCTGTATGGACTGAAGCAAGCACCACGGTGCTGGAATACCAGAATGCGGAATTTTTTAACTAAATTGGGATTTTTAATAAGCTCTGCTGATAGTTGCTTATACATCAAAGAAAAACAGGGAAAGAAGCTTATTCTTGCATTGTACGTAGACGATGGTTTGGTTGCTGCGTCTGATGTAAACGACTTGAACATGTTTTTAGAAGAACTTAAATCTGAATTTAAAATTACGCACAAGGATGCCAATTACTTCCTTGGCTTAGAACTTGAAAAGACGGATGAATGTATAAAAATAAGTCAGAAATCATACGCTAAGAAAATTTTGGAAAAATTCAATTTCTCTGAATGTAGACCGGTATCAACTCCGATGGAAAGCATTAGTAGCGTTGCTGCAGTTCAAAATTCAACAAATATTTTTCCATATCGGCAAGCAGTTGGAGCCATTATGTATTTAATGTTAGGAACTAGGCCAGATTTAGCATACAGTGTCGGTGTTCTCTCAAGATCTCTTGAATCCCATACAGCTGAAGACGTACAAAGACTTAAGCGAGTTCTTCGTTATATTGCTGGCACACTTGATTATGGAATAATTTACAAAGCAAACGGTATAAAGAAGTTGGAATGCTATAGTGATGCGGATTATGGGGGCTGCATGAGTACAGGACGATCAACAACTGGTGTAGTGGCATGTTATGCAGGCAGTCCAATATCATGGATAAGTCAAAGACAGCCAACTGTATCTACATCAACAACCGAAGCCGAAATCATTGCAGCGAGTGAAGCGACTAAAGAATTGGTATGGTTAAAAGGCCTCTACAAAGACTTATATAATTATAATGAAGTACCAATAATTCACATCGATAATACTGCGGCTATACGACTGTCTCAAAATCCTGAGTTCCACAAGCGAACGAAGCATATATCTTTAAAGCATTTCTTCATTCGTGAAAAAGTAATTCAAGGCGATATTTTGGTATCACAAATTGCAACTGAATATCAAATTGCAGACATGATGACCAAACCGTTACCAAAAATTAGACTACATCACTTCATCAATCTTCTCAATATTTATCATTTAAACAGGGGGAAGTGTTGAAGTACTTTGTTTAAACAATTAATATTTTGTAATTATATAAGCAACCTTAGCATTCAAGTTTTTTCCTGTATATAAATACCTAATTGTAACTTGTACTTTTACTTCAATAAAATATTCAATTCAATAAAAATTAATTTCCTTTAATTTCCAGCATTTTTGGTGGTGTGGTGAATTTCCACAAAAACTCACCACACCTCAAAAATAGCTGAAAATGAAGTTTAAAATATTAATAAACACGTCTAGGATCTTAAAATATTATTTGGAAGCCTAGAAATTTATTTTAAGCCCAAAAAATGTCATTAATCGGCGACATTGAATCGAATTTAAAGAAAAAAGAGGTTCAAAATAGGGCTTGCATTTTCGGCTTATAAAACCAATTTTTTTTAATTTGCGACATTGTTTTAAGTGTGGTGAACTTTCACTGATTAGATGCTAAAAACATATACACTTTCTCCCGTCATGGACTGCCAAGGTCAGGACCAATTTGGATATTTTCAGCTTTATAAAAGGTCAAAACATCGTATAAAATGAATTTCCATAATCTACGATGTAAACTATGCATGCTAGAAGCAATTTTGGTGGTGAGGTGAATTTTAAGAAAAACTCACCACACCTTAAAAATAATAGCATTTGAAAGCTAACATGTTTTTATGGCAGATGGGAAGGGTTAAAAATTAATTCGCCAGTGCTAAATAGTGATTAGAGCCCAAAAACGTTTCAAATTTCTCTCCGAAGGGCCTATGGCTAAATCTAGGGACCAAATTGGCTATTTTCTGCTTTATTGAATGTAAAAAAAATCGTATAAAATGCATTTCTGTAATCTAGGATAAAAGTATATTCGTTAGCAGCAATTTTGGTAGTGTGGTGAATTTCAAGAAAAACTCACCACACCCGAAAAATGATTGCATTTGAAAGCTGGCATGTTTTTATGATCGATGGGAAAGGTTAAAAATTAATCTGCTGGTGCTAAATAGCTATTAGAGTCTAAAAGCCTTTCAAATTTCTCTCCTAAGGGCCTATGGTTAGATTTAGGGATCAAATTTACTATTCTCTGTTTCATTGAATGAGGAAATGTCAAACAAAATGCATTTATGTGATCTAGCAAGAAAAATATGCGTGTTAGCAGCAATTTCGAAGGTGTGGTGAATTTCATTAAAAACTCACCACACCAAATAAAATTGAGCTATTCAATGCTTGAATAATTTTAGACGTGTTGCGCTAGGTTTTAACATCATTTGGAGGTTTTAAATGCCGTTTGGGGCCCCTAATATTTTAGTGCTCAATAAAAAAATGTTTTTTTAATTTTTAAAATTAATTTATTTGATTTTTATTTTGTTATTTATTGAGTGTGGTTTAACTATTTATTTAAAATTATTATTACTTAAATATTAAGGACATGTTTTTTCTAAAAATAAAATGTAATAAATGCAATGATGGTATTTTGTTGATAAAAAGAATGCTTGATCGGGGTAAGAAGGGAAATCGGGGAGGATTCGTTAAAAAGCCATGAGTTGACTGATTTTTTTTTTAATTTAAATATATGTATGATCGTAATAAATTTGTGCTACAAATACACAACTATCTGGAAGACTTCTTCACAGCCCTTCACTTCCCACATTTAAGGCACCACTATTATTCAAGCTATGCTTAGATTCGGTTATGCAATTTACTTCATGGTGGGCATAGCAACGGCGGCCTGGGTATGGCTTACATCAGATTCACGCCACAATTGGGTAACGGTCTTGGTTTGTGTGTAGAACTTGACACCTTGCTTGCCGTAGAAGTGATGGTCACCGCGGAAGGAGCCACGGGTACCGGTGAACGAGAACATGGGCAATGGCACGGGAATGGGTACATTGACACCGACTTGGCCGACATCGATTTCGTTGACGAATTTGCGGGCGGTGGCACCGTTGGTGGTGAAGATGGCGGTACCGTTACCGTAGGGGTTCTTGTTGACCATTTCGATGGCTTCATCGAGGGTATCGGCATTCAAGATGACCAAGACGGGGCCGAAGATTTCCTCCTTGTAGCAGTCCATATCGGGGGTGACATCAGTCAAGATGGTGGGTCCAACAAAGTAGCCATCCTCGTAACCGGAAACTTTAAGGCTGCGGCCATCCAAAATCAATTTGGCGCCTTGCTTGACACCGGATTCAACCAATTCGTGGATACGTTGCTTGGATTGGGCACTGATGACGGGACCCAAATCGGCACCGGGAACATGACCAGCATTGACCTTCAATTTCTTGGCGCGCTCAACCAAATCGGGGATCCATTTTTGGGCTTCGCCAACGAAGACGGCGGTGGACAAGGCCATGCAGCGTTGACCAGCAGCACCGAAGGCGGCACCAGCCAATTGATTCAATGTGTTTTCCTTGTTGGCATCAGCCATGACAACACCGTGGTTCTTGGCACCCATGTTGCTCTGGACACGCTTGCCGTTCTTGCCGGCGCGTTCGTAAATGTATTTACCAGCTTGGTCGGAACCGACGAAGGAGACAGCCTTGATTTCGGGGGCATCACAGATGAAGTTGACGGCATCGTGTTGGCCATGGATGACGTTGACAACACCGGGTGGGCAGCCGGCCTCATTCAACAATTCCATCAACATCATGGTGCAGCCGGGGACACGTTCGGAAGGCTTCAACAACATGGTGTTGCCGCAGGTGATGGCAACAGGGAACATCCACAAGGGAATCATGGCGGGGAAATTGAAGGGGGCAATGCCGGCGGTGACACCCAAAGGCAAGACCAAAGAGTAGGTGTCCATGTCGCGGGCAACATTGGCAACGGTTTCACCCATTTGCAAAGAGGGAATGCTGCAGCAATGTTCAACGACCTCTGTGGGGAGAAAATAGAACAACAGATCGTCAGAAATTGTATACAAAGAGAAAAAAGCGTCATCTTGAATACTTACGCAAACCACGCAAAACATCACCCTCAGCATCGGCCAAGGTCTTGCCCTGTTCCTTGGTAATGTTCTTGGCCAGCTCACCCATATTTTCCTTGATCAAGGCCTGCAATTTGAACATGACTTGTTGGCGGGACAAGATGGAAGTTTTCGACCAGGATTTGAAAGCATTCTTGTTGGATTCCAAAGCGGTTTGCATCTCATCCTTGGTACACTTGGGTACACGTGTAACCACTTGATTGGTGGCTGGATCATGTACATCGATCCATTCGGTAGTCTTGGATTCTACGAATTTGCCATCGATGAACATTTTGGTTGTGGGTGCGGCCGATGAGTAGGAACGCTTGGCCAACAAACGGGCCTAAAAGGAAGAAAAAAGAAATATTTAAATAAATAAAAAGGTTCAACATCAAAAAAATAAAAAGTGAAACCATAGAATTTATTCACTGGCGTAGTTGGTGTTATTTTTGTTTTAATTAAACCCAATTAAAAATTTAATTATGCTAATTGGAATTTCATTTTAAGTTCATTGGGCTTTTGAGTGTTGCTCGGGGCGAAGTTGAAAGTGAATAAATGGGAATTTTAATTAAAAAGTGCCTTAAAATGCCGTAAATTATTTAAAAATTTGAATTTTATATGTTAGAAATAAAAATCTGAACGTCTGGAGAAATTTTGGCGGTGTGGCGAATTTCTGTAACAACTCACCACACCCTAAAATTGTAGCATTCGAATGCTAACATAATTTTATGAACGATGTGAAGGGTTTAAACGAATTTTTAAAGATCCATGTAACGAATAGAACCAAAAATATCAAAAATTTACCACTTTAAGGCCTATGGGTAAGTATAATGACCGATATGGGATTTATTTGCTTTTTGAATAAGAAAATCTTAAATAAAACGCATTTCCGTAGTGTAGAAGAGGAAATATGCATGATAACAACATTTTTGGCGGTGTGGTGAATTTCAGTAGAGACTCACCACACCCGAAAAACTATGGAATTTGAAGTTTACCTTAATTTTATAAACTTTGGGAAGGTTTAAAAATTCTTCTTTATTTCCTTCGTCGATCTACAGGGCTGCGGTTAGTGAGAAAATAGGCTTTTGTTTAGGTTTTAAAATGATAAAATCTCAAATGAAATGCTTTTACGTAATGTAGAAATGCAAATATGTATGATAGCAACATTTTTGGCGGTGTGGTGAATTTCAATAAAAACTCACCACATCCGAAAAATTATGGCATTTGAATTCTAAGATAATTTTTACATGTTGGGAAGGTTTTAAACATTGTTTGAAATGCTGAAAAGCGATTAGAATCTAAAAATCATCCGAAATTCCTCATGTCATGGCCTATGGTAAAGGTATAGTGAATAAATAGGCTATTATTTAGTTATGTAATAATGAAATCTCACAGAAAATACATTTCCGTAATGTAGAAATAAAAATTTGAGTGTTATGAGCAATTTTGGCGGTGTGGTGAATTTTTTTTCAGAAACTCAACACTCGAAAAACTATAGAATTTGAATGCTAGTATATTTCTACATATGTTGGGATGTATTTTAACACGGTTTGAATATTCCTAATGTCTTATTATGATACTTTTCTTACAAAAAATCCCATTCATTTATGATTTTCTAACACAACATTTTCTTACATTTGGCGTTTTTTTACCCTAGTCATAATTGACATCACTGCTGTCAATTTTCTTTATTTGCAATTTTTTTTCATTTTGCAATCAATTTTTTCTTATCGTCTTCCATACATTTATATTTAACGATTTTGTAGCACAACAACTTTCATGTATTTTTAAAATTTGGCGTTTTTTTTTTACTTCAGTCATAATTGGCATCACTGTCTTCTGTAGAAAATTTTCTTTAGTTGCATTTTTACCTTTGCAATTATTTGTTTCTTAATTTGGGGATTTTTTTATTCTAATCACGGTTGGCATCAGTGTTTTCTGTTGTGAATTTCCTCTGTTTACATTTTTCTCTTTGAAATTATTTTTTTCCAAACATGCTTTCTCGTGCCTATTTAAATTTGGCGTTTTTTAAATCTTGTCACAGTTGGCATCACTGTTTTCTAATACCATTTTGTGTTGTCAATTTCCCTAATTCGCATTTTTCCCTTTGCCACCAACTGTTGACAATTATTGCCAGTCATGTTCTTAATGGCATCGCTCTCTCTCTCTCTCTCTCTCTCTCACACACTTTTGTAAAATACCCGTTGTATTTCTCCTTTCCTTCTTTCCACCCAACCTCCCTCTGTCTAACAACAAACAAACTTGTTAGGCATGCCTACCCCCTTCACAAATCATGTGGAGCAATAGTAATTTACAATTGCCATTCTCCAGCCTAGTTATATCTCCCCCCTTTTGTCACTCTCTCCCCCCACTTACACTCTGTTGAAAACAACCGTAACTCGGGCTCGGCTCTCTCTTACGTCGTGTGTAGGAAATTATTGCTCGTGTCTCCTCTAAAGAAACAAAAAAATCATGTTCAATCAACGACATTGGCAAATTACCGTTCGGTTCTCTGCCCCACATATTCACTCTCATTGACGATCTCTCTCGCACTACTTACACAGTAACACAAAGCACACATAACAACAAATTCGGTGGGCTTGTCTGGTGGCATTAGAAATGTTTTGATTTATTCTTGTCGTTGTTGTTGTTTTTCTTTCATTCTAAAAATTTCCATTACACAAAAAGGAAGAATAGGAACAGAACAACAAAACAATGACGACAACAATAACAAAAAAATGTCAATCAAATCATGATGGGGGAGCTATCTCTGTGTGTGTGGTTAGTTAATAAATTTAAACTTGAAAACAAGATAAATATGTTTTTGGTGTATTTGTCCCCCTGTTCTTTTCTCGCTCTCTCTCTCAACAATGTAGGGGGGCCATGACCAAAATACGGAAATTAAAATAAATTGAAATGAAATGGAGGCGCGTGTAAATGCTGCCTACAATTGACAACAGTTGTGGAGAAAAGTTTGTTGACAGTTAGAGGGAAAATGTTAATTAATAAAGAATAAATAAATGTTTTAGGAATTTTTTTTGGGGAATTTATTGTAGGGATGAGAATGATTAAAAAAAGTAACATAAAAATAAAAATAAGAAAATAAAAAAATAATAAAAAAGATAACAATAAAAAATAATTTTAATAACCATACTCCTAATTTTATTTTAGTAAAAAAAATTCTAAAATAAAAAAACCTTCTCAAGTATAAAACTCTGGGGGGTCTCTACCCGTGCAAGATTATCTCCAAAAGTTCTCGAGATAAAGTTTTTTTATTTTTTTATGGCCGCATGGCGCAGATTTCACTGCACTCGAGCAGCTGATTAGATGCCATATTAAGTGTGTTCAGGCAAATATGTATTTAATAAATGTATGACACAATAAATACTGATAAGAATTATTATTAGATTATGATAAGGTTTGAAAAATATAAAAAAAATAATTGTTGTTACCTAGCAAGCAAATAAGAAATAGAAGAAGAAGAAAAAAAATTGTTTGAAAATATCTAACCACGTGATGATAAACTTTAGGAATTAGTCAAGTATTTTTAAGTGGAGAGAGTTTCCAAGGCAAGAATTTTTTTAAAGTGACTAAAGTATTGAAAAAAAAATTGAAGTGACTGCAGTATTGAAAAGAAAAAAATATCTAAAGTGACGCATGATAATATTAATCAATATATTAGGTTGAGTAGCGCACTTCAAATTAAGTTTTATGGTGAAGATATTTTTTTTTTCTTTTTTAAGGATGAAATTCTTATCGTTTTGTTTTTTTTTCAATTTTTTAAAACATAATTTTGGCGGATTCAATTTAAACAAATTTATTAGATAGGCCGATTACATGTTTTTTTGTGGAATTTTTTTGTCGTGTACAAACGGCCTAATTAAGATAAAAGGCTTGGTGTAGGTAAATAGGGATTCCGAAAAATTAAAATTTAAAAAAATTGAATTTTCAAGCAAAAATTCTGGTTTCATATTCATAAAAATTATTTTATCTCAGGTGGCCCATCACTTTTCACCTCAACTGTTTATAGGAAACAATTGTTGCCAAACAAATAGTTTTATTAAAATCTACATATGTATGTGTTCACGTGTGTATTTGTGTGATTTAATAAATTGTTTACATTTTGATTCGGATTATTTATGTAAATTATTATTATTTTTTATTAGAACGAAATATTGTTGTTTTTTCTGTTTTCATAATTGCCATTGCAAATATTCAATTCACACAAATTTGAATACCAAAAACGAAATGGGTTTTGTATTTAAAAATAAAGTTGATTTGCAAAAAAAAAAAAAAAAACTGGTGTTCACACACATACATACATATCGACAATCCAGTATCGCTCTCTCATAGACAAATTATGTATGCTAATGCTACTGGCAAGTATTGAATGGAAAATGCCACGTATATTGAAAAAAATGCTCAGCAAACTATTAGATATTCTGGCATATTGTTATAAATAAATTAAAATAAAAAAAGAAACGAAGGGAAGCTCCTCTCTCGCGCTCATTTTTTCCCAGCCCAAGGCATATTCTCGTAAATTCTGCCAAAGCGACAAAAATGATCGATTTGACTGAGAAATATGACGATTTGACAAAAAATGGAAATTCTTTCAATATTTTTTTAACAACAATAAGTGATAAAATAAAAAAATAATATCCAAAAAAAATTTTTTCATCAATGACATCAAAATGAAGCACATCAATTTTGAAATAATTTTTTTTTATTTAGGGAAATCGATGTAGAAGTTTTTTTCACTTTGAATTTTTCGAACTTATTCAAGTCCGTTTTTATTTATTTTCAATATTTCAAAATTCTTTGAAAATTTCTTTTGAATCTGTGAAAAGTTCTCAGATTTTTTTTATGAAAATTCGATATTTTTTATTTCCAGTATTTCAAAATTCTTTCAATTTCATCTTTGGGGAACATTTTCAAAAAGGTTTTCGTTTTGAATCTGGGACAAATTCTGCAAAAACCTTAAGGAAAAATCCCTCTCAATAATTAGTTCTGGCAAAATTTTTTTTTTCACAAAAATTCAACAATTTTTTACTTTGAATATTTGAATCTATGATATTCAATAATTTTTTTATAATTTTAATAATCTTCTATTTCAGTTTTAAGAAGATTTAAGAAAAATCCCTTCCAATAATTAGTTCTGAAATTCAACAATTTTTTACTTTGAATATTCGAATCTGCGAAAATTAGATTATTTTTTTACAAAATTTTTCCGCCAAAAATAGGTTTTCACTTTAAAACTGTAGTTGTTTCAGTCGTAGTCATGGTTATTGCTATTTTCCGTGTTTTGAAAATATTTCCATAATATCTTCTAATTCAGTTTTAATTTATTTTTTATAATGTTTTTCCCGCCAAAAATAGGTTTTCACTTTAAAGCTGTGGTGGTTTCAGCCGGAGATTTTTTATTGCTATTATTTCTCTTTAGAAAATATTCCCCTAAAATTTTTTTATTTATTCACAAGCCAAATTCATGTGTTTTCACTTTAAAGCTGTGATAGGTTCCCAAGGGGTCAGGGTCAACAAAAAAATTATTTCCTTTCATTATCATTTTCATTCTATCTCTCTTTGTCAACAATTCAATTCTATATTTAAATTGAAAAAAAAAACATTTCAAAACCTGTGATTTTCCAACAATTATAATTTTTTTATTGGCTGCAGAACTTCTTTTTCTTCTATTAATTGTTTTCGATTGTTTTTTTTTGAAATCCATCATTTCAACGTTTATTTTATTTCCACTTCGATTAAAATTCCTTAATTTTTCTTTTATAAAATCTATGTATTTTACATTTTATATAATGTAAAATATGTATTTAAATAAGATAGTTTATCATAAAACACATCTAATGTAAACATTAAGTTACATATTTGCCTAGCAAACTACTAAATCGCCAGACATAGTGGCACCTAAAATTCCCATTTTACAAAAACAAAAACATTTTTTGTAATTTTTTCCCACAGGAATGAGAATTTAAATTAGGCGTTTTATTAAAACACGCTAGATGTAAATACAGCCTACCCACTCTCATATAAATTATCAATTTTATGTAAATACGCCATTTATTTACATGACATTTCAATTGATAGCTTATTTTAATACCGTGCTTCAAATGCAGCATCATTTGATGTAAACACGGCCTTACTCCAATTACATTAGCTTGTGACATGTCACAGGTATTCACTTTTCAGTAATAGCAAATATGATAAATCTTGATGAGTTGTGACAGTGTTACAACGGGATAATTTGTTCTCTCTCTCTCACTCTCTTTTTACTTTACATTACAGAATATCACAGTCTCTGAGACTCTGTAGTATCTTAAAGTGTGTTTACATTAAATGATTTGTTTTCTTAGCACAGATAATTTGATTTAATAGTCATTTTTCATTAGTTATATAAAATAATAAAAATAGAAATAAAAGAAAACTAATAAAAATAAACATGTAATTGCAAAAGCATCAAAGATGTGTTAAGGGCCAGGATCCACGCAATGGAAAATAACTAACAAATTTGATTGATGTAGATTAATTTTATTTTCATTAATTTAATTAATTCCCATGGCTTTCGACACACACACATACATTGATATGGAATCTATCTTCATAACCCAAACAAGATTTTTTTTCTTTTTGCATGGTGATAACAAATTTTTTATCTCTTGGGTGTTGCAAATTATGAAACAAAATAAGATAAATATTTTTTTTTTGTATATTTATTATATAAATAATAAATAGAAAAAAAATATTTATTTCTTCAAACCAATTAACATAAATTGTTATATAACCAGATGCGGAAAAAAATCGCTCCTAAGAAATATTGATAAATTAGAAGCCCCCCCCCCCCTATAATAAAATTTAGAAAAAAAAATCGCAAAAAACGCGTTGCCATGTGTTATCATCCTCATGCCATACATGGTGAAAGCAAAACGCCTGACAAATCACACAAAATAATTTTATGACTTCGTGGTCTTGTTATCGGTTAAAGGAAAAAAAAAAAAAAATTAAACAACTTGAGACATACATAATTGTTTTATTGCCAATGAAGAACATATAACTAGCATGGGGGGCTCATCAGGCCACTTAATAAATGCTTCCGATTTTTAAATACAAAAATCTAATCTAAAGAAATTCCGACAATTTTATTAAAAAAAATAATATTTTTTTTTTAACCCAAACGGTCTTCCCAAATAGACAACATCATTACGTAATTAATAATTTATGGAATTTTTTCCAACCAAAAAGGGTCTTGTCCATTTGCCACCACATCACACATTTATATTTTATTCTTGAAGAAAAAAAATATCACACATGTAAACACTGTTATTGTTTCTTCTTCTTGTTTTACAACAATTACACTTTTACAACAACTATTACCATTACTACGCAGCAGTCCAACAGGTAAATACTTAATTTTATTTATTTTTTTCTATTATTTTTTTCCTCTCACCTCAGCACCAATCAAACGAAGCATCGACATTTTTGCGATATTTTTCTTTTTTACAAGACGAGAGCACCACTAAACCAAACCAGCCGGTGGTTTCACTAGAACTAACAGCAATTGGAAAGTTTGCTGGCACGTTTATGCTCTCCGTCAATAGGCAGCAAAGCTTGACGTTAAACGTCAGCGCTATGATGGTGGTGTGACTTGTTTTTTCTTTTTCTTCTTTTCTGCTTCACATTCTCGCATTATCCCCCCACCATCGCCATCAATTTTTTCTCCAAATTCTATCATCAAAGTAGAATGTGTTTGTGCTTGTTTCAGTTTGTGCCCATGCATAATAATGTGCCGCGACATCACAGACTCACTGTTTGTGTTGTTATTGTTATGTATTATTATTCTTCTTCTTCATCATAATTGTAGCGGGAGTGTTAGTTCATTTGTACTTTTTTTGCGTTTTAACAAAAAAAAGTTATGCTGTGTTTTGGTTTTCTTCAAGAGAATGCCCCCCTATGCTCTTGTTGTGAGAGATGGGGATAATGACAGTTGGAGCCAGAGCATTAACATAAAAACAAACATGGAAAACATAACAGGCTCTCTCTTTGTTATGATTTGTACACAGAGACAGGCTGCCACAGCAAGCACACACACGCACTAACACACACAGAGATCCACGTGCGTCATTAACGGCCGAAACACAACAAAGTTACCAGATCGTGTATTTATAAAGGCAAACGGTTAATGTTTGAAGTAAATTAAATGAATATAAATTAAAAATAGGAAAATAATAATAAAAAAAATAACAAATTAAATTGAAAAAGATAAAAAAATAATAGAAGAAAAATTAAATTAAAAAAAATTTAATTAATAATGAAAATAATTAAAAATTAGAAAAATTACAAAAAAATAATAAAAAATATTTTTAATAATTATTTTAAGAAAAAAAAATATTTTAACTGAAAACAAAAAAAAAATAAATTAAATATGTGGAAAATTATAAGAAACTAATATTTTTTGATACTTATATGCTATAGTTTGCCAGATCGAGAATTTTTTAAGGAAAATAAGTTAATGATGAAATAAATTTAAAAGAGAAAATTTTAAGAGAAAAAACATTTTATCTAGAAATAAATAAAAATAATGTGTAGGAAATATTTTTTACTATTTTCTTTGATATTATTAGGGAAAAATTGCTATCGCTGTCCATTAATCGTTTTTTGGCACTGTTTCACTTACCATAATTAATTTTTTTTGTACCGTACAAATGCTATTGACTTTTATTTTCCACCCTTTGCATACAAAAAAGACAAGCGTCAGCCTTTCATGTTGTGTTTTACGGCTAAATAGTTGTCCATAATAACTATCAGATTGTTTTTTAAAATATAATATTTAATTATTATATTAAAATATCCCCTAATGTCCACTATTTTTTGTTTTGTACAGTCCAACAGCTATTTAAATTCTTTTCCCGCCCATTACAAAACAAAAAAAACGGTTAAAGTCTGCAGTCCACATTGTGTTTAACATGGCGCCGTCACAAACAGTACAGCTGTTGGAGTAACCTCACATATGCCAAAGCTCATTGCTATGAAAACACACAAATAGGCCTTATAAATGAAAAAGGAAAGTGGGATGGATGTACTAACGGTTATTTTTATTGATTTTTGCCATAGAACAAAAAGGAAAACAACCAAAAAGAGAATAAAAAGAATAACAAAACTGGCAGTTAACAAGGATATGCGAAAATGACATAGGAATAAGGCAAGTAAAATATGGAAAAGAGAATAATACCACAAACGTCAAGCGTCAACAGCTTATGTTGTGTTTAACGCCGGCCAGCTGTTGTGGCTGTCTGACACATATGCCAAAGCTAATTGCTATGAAAACAACGAAACAGCCCTTATTAATCAAATGGAAATTGAAAAGGATGTACTACAGGTCCTTTCTATTGATTTTTCCGCCATCGAAAAAAAAAACAAACCAAAAGAGAATACAAAGAAAAACAAAAACTGACAGTTAACAAAGAATATGCCAAAATGACATATGAATGAGGAAAGGAAAATAAAGGAGAAAAAAAACAGGAATGACAAAATACCTGGTAAAGGAAAACCACTAGAACAAGAGACATAGTTTCTCCCAAACAGAGTAGACACAGAATTGCAATAAAAAAATTACAAATATTTTTATTTATTAAAAAACAAAGTGGAAATAAAACGGAAATTAAAGAAAGAAAATAATAAAATAAGGGAATATATATTTATAGTTATGCAGTAGTTAGCAAAGTAAATGAAAATCTAATTAGAAAAAAAGTAACCAAAGTGAGAAAGTGAAATTAAAACGAAATAAGAAAAAAAATATTGAATATTAAAGTGTTTTTGTATAAACATTTGTTTGTGTTTTTCCCCAGTTTTTTTCCTTTTGGAAATCTTTAATGGTTTTTTGAGTGAAAACCTTTTTGTAGAGTATTTTTTGGAAAAAAAAAATTATTTGTTTCAAGGATTTTTTGCAACCTACCCCACTTTTCTATGTGCGTGTGTGTACGTACGTGTATGTTTTTTGATCCCAATAAGGAATTGCATTGTGGACTAGGATAAACGTATGAACCAATCAACAGCCAACATTAAATCACACAACGTCGTCCTTAAAATATATTTTGTCATTGCCTTCAAAAGGACCCCCACAACAACACCAACAACAACCCATTTTTGGAGGCTGCTTATTATTTAATCGATAGTAAAACTTCATTCTGGAATATTTTAACGTTGCTAAGGAAATCTTTGTCATCGCCGCCGCCGCCACCACAACCTCCTCCAGCATTCTTGTTTTGGTGTTTTGTTGTCACAAAAAGATTTGAAGCTCCTCCCCTCCGTTCCGCAGCACAAAAACCCAAACATATGTTTGTTTAACTTGGCCTCTCGCGATAAAATACAAGTTAATTACCTTACCCCCAACAATGTATAAAACCATAAGGCACGGTGAGAATAGCCTACAGTATACCATACTACCACAAAATGATGATTTTCGCCTGGAGGGCAAAATCAAATCGGCCGGTTCGAAAAAATCCAAAACTAAAAAGCCACGTCGAAGATCATTTTTCGCCTATTTGGGTTTACTGTTCGTGTGTACGGTCATAATCGGTGCGGTGTTGGTGCCATTTTTGGTATCTGCCGGCCTGCCCAATCCCACAGAATGGTTTCAAAAAACCAAGGCAGCTTTCACGCGGAGCTCAGCCCCCACCATCAACACCCCGAGCAAGGAGAACAAAGAAAATGTGCCCACCAACCCACAACAGCAACACACCGGAAGTGCTTTGGCCAATGCCATGCTTAACAAAGGCAATTTGATGGCTTTGAACAAAGCCAATGTGGGTAAACCGGTGAAAATTATCAACAAGGATGGTGTGGAGAAAATTATTTTAAAATTAAATAAAACCCTGCCCCAAGCCATTGATACAAAGGTGGAAAGTCAGGCAAACACCATAGCTCCCGTTGCAGATAATGGCATTGTAACAACTCTCAAAGATGATGCGATACCGAAAATTACCATACATGATCTGGAGGAAGTACCCAATTCAATTACCACCGTCCAGCCGCAATTGAAACCACAAACAACCATGCGGACAACTGCTGCTACCATTCCCGAAGTGTTAGCTGTAACCACAAGTAGTTCGGTAATGGTTGCAGGAAATCGCACAGTGATTTCCAACTCAATTCCCAATGTTCCAAGGGCCTCTTTGCAATCCTCATTAAATCAAAATAACAATCTGACATCATCCTCCTCTTCGTCCTCTACTTCGGGTATATCTGCATCCTCATCATCTTCTACTCAGCCCACAATTACCACCCGCATCATGCAGGTGCCATTGCTAAAATCCACCGCCAAGAAACCGGCCATACCACCAGTACTCGTCAAAAATCTATCACCTATACAACCTACACCTGAAACTAATAATAACAACAACAATTTGAATGATATCATTCCCTCCAAAACGTTAACAGCCAATACAAATAATATTAATAATAATAAAATGTTGAACGCCAACCCAGATTCCGATTGGATACACACCCATTGGCCATACATAGATCCATCAACCTATTTCCAATGGAATGTAAGTTAAGCATTCAATCAACCTATGTTGTCCTTAATTTATATTTTTAAAGAATTGATTATTAATTCTGCTTTTCCTTTTCTCTTTCTCCATCAAAAGGGTTATAAAACTGAGGACAGCGTTTTATTGCCAGCCTTATTGGGTTTTGCTTTAATTGGTGTCATTCTCATCATAACTGTCTGTTTGGTGGCACGCAACAAAAGGACCATTGTCACTTCAGTTCGTAAGAGGAATCGTAATGTAAGTAGATGAATATGTGTGTATGTATATTTGTGTGTGTGTGGGTGGGTGTTATGATGGGCATGGGCCATAAGCTTTAAAGAAAAGGAATATTAGCTAGCCCTCTAGTAAAAAATGGAATATTGATTTAAAAATCAATAGAATAGGAAGTCTTAAATAGTAAATTCCGTAGATTTGTAGAAGACACGGAAAGATCACATAAATATAGATTGAGGTGACAGACGATGGTCGAGCAAGTCGATTCTGATTTTAGACTTAAACGACATTTACATTAGAACTTTTTACCGGGTTAACCTACTCTATGAGGATCTATTTGACATGTATACAATGGAATTGACAATTGAAACCCACTGGGTTAACGAAATCCGGTACAATGTAAACGTGGGAAATATTTCTGTTTGTCCTGCATAAAAATATTTAGAAATTCTAGGATTATACCTTGAAAATATAAAAAAAAAAAATCAAGAAATAAATGTAGTTTTCTTAAATACCTAATTGACTCACTAACCTCCTTTTGTTTTTCCAAATAATAACGAATCATTATCATGAATCTCCGTCCTTCTAGTTGTTATGATTGCTAGCATATTATTCCCCATTACATTGGCAACTGAAATAAAAATTTGAATTAATTTCCATCATGAATATTTCTTCACATAAAATTTAACTTGGTACATTTTTTTTTTCGAATAATATTGGTCCATTTTGCTGAATAAAACGTCTTCTGAACTGAATTTATGAGTTAATTTGGTAGCTTCTTCCTTTCATTTTCATTAGTAAATGATAACATATGTACCTTTGCTGTTTTTTTATTACATTTTTATACCCGTATCGTATTCCGAATTTATATTTGAAACTTCTACTACCTTTTCTGACTAATGCCGGTCCATATTTTTGAATTTTCGGGATAAAAAGTGGTTTCTTTTAAATATTGACAATGAATGATCAGATGGTGGGTTCTTCTTCTTCCTCGATTGCATTACAAATTGATAACAGCTGAGCCAACAGATCACAAGCGCCTGTCTTTTGACCATATTCCTTATTATTTCACTCACAATTAATATTCTGCTTTAAATTTGAGTACTTATACATCTTTTTCGAATTAATAATTACCAAAATTGCCATATTTAACTTGAAATAATGTTTTTTCACGTAAAACCAATGCAGGCGTAAACAAATGATCGATTCTTCTTCGCTCTTTTCACAATGCACTATAAAATGATAGCAGCTGAGTAACAATAGTTCTTCTTTTAATCATATTTCCCATATTTCTCGATTATTCAATTTACGAATAGAATTTTGACTTAAAAATCTTACTTATCTGCACTTTTTCGGAATTATTAATGATCAAAATTGCTTAATTCACTTGAAAAATGTCTCTTTTTACAAAACCAAAGTATGAAAAGGCAAATGGTAAATTCTTCTTCTTCTCCCAATCAGATAGCAATTCACAATGTAGTATAGATTGATAACAGCTGAGTAAAAACAACATTAACGTCTTTCTTGAAATAATATATCCCACGTTTCATTATTATACGATTCGCTTTATAAATTAGACTTTTGCAGAATTTGTGATTTATAAAGGCTATCACAAAATGTATATATTACAAAATCAGAGAATAAAAAGAGAGACAGCTTACCGTCTCTCTTCCAATTCCATTAACGTCCGCCTTTTGACCAAAGGGCTTATTATTTCACTCATAATAAATATTCTAATTTTAATTTGGTACCGTCTGGACTGTTTTCGAAATTCTTTATGACCAAAATTACTATATTTCACTTGAAAATAATGAATTTTCATTTCTGATTTTAATCGCATTTCCCATTTCTCGAATAAATATATCATTAACGTTAACCTTTTCAACATATTGTGTTATATATGATTCACAAATATTATTTCACATTAAAAATTAGCTTTTCTATGGTTTTGTGATTATATTATCAACGTTCGTGTTTTTAACGAAATTTATTTTTTTCATGACCCAAAAATAGTATTTTAGATTTAAAAACTAGCCCCCTGCCCGTTTCCAGATTATTAATGGACCTTGCAGAATCCCTTTATCCATATAAATATAAGACGCCTGCTTCTTCTTACTATTACATTGAAATGCAAGTTAAACTCGTTTTGGAAGTTAAACTCATTTGCTAATATTCAGGGAAAGGCAATAATTTAATTAATAATATTAATTATTAAATGTATATATACTTACGAATACAATTAACTTAGAGATTACATTTTCATTTCAATTAAATTTGAATATATTTCAATATATTCATAATTTATTTGACATAGTATTCAAAACAATACACAAAATATGTATTTTGATTTGATGGAACGAGCCACCTTGATATTTGTAATCAGTTGGCAGCTGTGTCCTACTTTGTACAAATTATACCATGGCTGATAGCATATCCATATTTTTACATTATCAATTACAGTAAAATAATAATGTATTATGACGGGAAGTACCCAATAACTCAATTTTTGTTAATAATTTATTATCAATCACTTACAATTTAATATATTTAATATATTTTCTTGTTACCTCGTGATGCTTCTTCTTCTTATTGAGATATAAGTGCTTTAGATGACAGCTTTCCTTTTATTTAGATTTCAATCTACTTTTAACTGATTTTCGCCATTATTTTTCATTTTATTATTCATTTGTTTTATAATTATTTAGTATATTATTAGTTGTTTATTAATTAATTGCACATTTCAATGATTTTTTCGTTATAAAAATAAATTATTTCCTTCGCCAACCGTTTACGCAAAAAAGATGCATTGTGCTTCTTCTTATTACATTACAAATCACTGTAATTGTTAACAGCTGTTGATGTTAGGGTTCTAAAATGAGAAAAACGACTTATTGACTTCCATTATATGAAAATTTCTTGGATTTTATATATTTTTTAATAGAAATAATATATAGTAATAAAAAAAATTGGGATATTTAGTTAAAATAATACGGAAATAGAAAGTTTCTTTTTATTACTGCATTATTAATTCTTATCACATTATAAATCACTGTAATTGATAACAGCTGTTGGTGTTAGGGTTCTAAAAGGCGAAAAACGATTTATGTTGTCTTCCATTATATGGAAAGGTTCTAACATTGCTTATAAAAGTGCGTTTAGATCAGGGTTAGCCAAGAATACATATGCAAACTGCTATGATTGTGGTGGACACACGCATAGATCCGTTGGGAGAGTAATTTTCGCTCTCTCGGTACAGATCGTCTATGTTAAAGCATTGCAAAGCATACAACATGTTCGATGTCGAGAATAATGTTGAGTTCGAACACAGAACTGTGATTGTATTGGTACTCTCCCAAAGCGCCCACGGGCGCCTGTTTGGTGAACAGTGGTTTAGATTTACAAAATTCACTCGATTTGAAATGTCAATTTATATAGAGTATATGTCAAATAAAAATTGACATTTGAAATCGAATGGATTTTGTAATTTAAGCGTTATTTTAATGAATGCACCCTGAGTTTGATATTTGACATTTTTTTACAACGCATTTTACTATTAACAAATTACATGCGGGAACACACCTTATGTGTGAAAAGACATTTTCGCGAAAAGAAACCTCCCTATCGATAGTGAGACATTGAAAACGATATAACCCACGTCGATAGTGTTATCGATTCTGTGTCATCACTATTGCCAGCTCACTTGTTTCTCAAACAAATTTTTTGACGTGTGACGACGACTACGTCGACGAGTGAAACGATAGCCAGTCAGCCAGCCAGCCAACATTGATTTTGGTGAAACGTAACAGAAAACATACCAGGGAGATAGCTGTGGAGAGCAAGCTGCTGCTGTTGTTGTCGTCGTCTGCTGCCTGCCTGCTGCTGGAAAACAAAACGAAAAATTGGATATTTTTTTAGTGGAATATTTCTAAGGAATTGAATAGAGGAGTAACCTGCCAACGAGATGGCCATTAAACCAGCCAGTTTGGGACGCAAGTCCACCAACAAGAATCCCCCCATTCTCAGCCATGAATTCGTGATACAAAATCATGCCGATATCATCTCCTGTGTGGCAATGGTATTTGTTTTGGGTCTTATGGATGAGTCGACATCACCATTTGCCAGCGCCTTTATTTCTCTACATCATAATGTCAGCGGTGAGGAGCCGACACGTGAACAACCGCTGGGAAAGCCCTTTACCTACGTGGCTGGCATCAAGGACTACTGTGCCGTGTTCTTCTATACCCTGACCTGCATTATTATGCATGCCATCATTCAGGAATTTGTGCTGGATAAGATTTCGAGAAAATTGCATCTGTCCAAATTCAAGTTGTCGCTGTTCAATGAAAGTGGCCAATTGGTGGCCTTCTATGTCATGTCATTCTTGTGGGGTGCCAATGTCATCTTGAAGGAGGGATATTTCACAAAGTTCTCGTTGTTGTGGGATGACTATCCCAATCACCCCATGTCGTTCCTGCACAAGTTCTTCTTCATCATCCAGTTGGCCTACTACCTGCATATGTTGCCGGAATTGTATTTCCAAAAGGTCAAGAAGGAAGATCAACAGCCGAAAATCATTCATGCCGTGTGTGGTTTCTCCATTATTTGCTTGGCCTATACCTTCGGGTTCCAACGCATTGCCTTGGTCATTTTGACATTGCATTATTTGTCCGAGACCTTTGCCCACATTTTCCAATTGATTGGTGTCTTCGATCGGGATGAGAAAATGGCCAGTGTGAAGATTGTCAATAATGCAGTGTTTGTGTTTGTTCGCTTCACCTCCATGGTGATTGGAGTGTTGGCCTTGTACTATGGAGTCATTGCTAATTCGTCACAGAAATTGCGGGGCTATTTGGCTTTGTTTGCCCTTTTGGGTTTGCAGTGCTATTTCATTTTCTCCTTTATTACGGAACAGCTGAAGGCTAAGCGTGAGGCCAAACAATTGAGCAAACCCGCTGCCAGTCAAAAGAAGAAGACACCCAAGGAGAAGACGAAAAAGGTGAAACGTGAATCGGATTTGCCAGAGGCCGATCAATCACCCAGTGCTCCCATTAACAACAAGGTGAAAAGCAAGTAAATTCAAGAGTGATGAGAATGCACACACCACAATTCCGAACCGGCCACTAGCAATAGGCACTGGATAGAAAAAAACAGTGCATAATCTAATAACCCCCAACAATATGCCGCTCAAGTTCAAATTGAAGTTCAGAAGACAAGAAGCTCTCCACCAATTGAAAAAAAATACAAATTTTTTTGCTCAAAAAAAAAAAAAACAAATCTCTCTTCACTTTCAATTCATTTTTCAAATTGGACCCATTTTTTTCAGGGCTCCTGGGAGATTTGACATTCTTCTCCTTCTCCACGAAATGCATTTAAGGCAATTTTTATTTTTGTTTTCCAAACGTTGTAACTTTTTTCTATTGAATATTTAAAAAAAAAAATATTGTTAAACTATTTTTAAACTTCAAAACATTCTTACATCGACACTCTGTACTCAAAACACACAAAAGAAAAATTCCTTTATTTTTTTAAATAACAAAAACAAAATCAAAACTATTGTATTTTTTTATATAAAAATAATTTAATTATAAACTATTTGAAGTTACTTTTTTATATATACAAAACATAAAAATAAAAACTATTTTTTATTTTAATTTTCTACTATTTTTTTAGTTTATTTTTTTGTACTTTATTTTATTTAAAAAGAAAATAATAAAAAACAAATATATTTTTTATAAAAACTTTATAAAAAAACTGGAAATTTTTATGTTAATATTTATTTCCTATAAAAATAGGTCTAACACCACGGCTGAATATAAAAAATACAATACGTATACATAAAAATAAAATTATAAAAAAACCGAAAAAAATCACCCAATAAAAAAATACTATTTTTTATAAAAAAAAACAAGTTTTTTTAAAACTGCAGTTGTTTTTGTCTTGTGGCCATGTTGCAAGATTTTCCTTTCCCTTTCTGGTTTTTTGTTTTATTTATTTTTATTTGGGTCTCACTCAAGGTTATGGCGAAGTTGTTGTTGTTGTGTACCAATTAGCTGGCATAGAGGGAGCCAGCTTGGCTCTTAATTGCTTACCGATGATGATAGTAATGATGATGATGACGTTGAAGATGTCTCTCTCGATACCGGTTTTACTATCAATTTGGTTTTTATCCACATTGTGTATATATTGGTATAATGATAACAAATATACTTTCACACTTAAGCTACGTGGAGGCATAGTCGCAGATGGTCTCGATGTGGTGGTGACCCATACACAAAATTCAATCAAATTGAAAGATAATTTAAAAAATTAATTAGTATTTTATTTTGAATAGAACAATCTGGAAGTTTAGTGGAGGAGGGTGGTGGAAATAAATTAAATTATGAAATTTATTTTTTTATTTATTTTTGAAATATTGGATTAAAAAAAAATATTTTTTAAAGGCTATAAACGGAGAGGATTTTTTAAAAAAATATGATTTCTTAAACTTTTTTTTAATTTACTTAAATATTTTTTATCTATAGTTTTGTGAATATAAAGGACATTTTTGCTCATATTTTTAATATAATTAGTTTTTATTATTTATTTCTACTATTTTTTTTCTCTCTTCAGTAAGAAAAATCAAAAATACTTAATTATTTTAGGACCATAATAATTTTTATTGATAATATGTGAAAACTGTTAAATAAAACATGTCTAAACATGTTTAGAAATATTTAATTTTTTATCTTTTTTATTTTTTACATTAAAAACAAAAAAATTTTTATACAATTTTAATTTTATTTCGTATTTACTCTCCCTCTTCATTAAATGTGAGTGTAAAATCGCCCTAATAAGAGCGTGTCATCATTGAGGACGTGTAACCATGCCTTTCTCTCAATGATAGCCATGTAAATGCGCTGCACCATGTAAATACTATAATGTGGCGTTGTCACACCGTGTAAAAACGGCAGATAGAGCATTTACATTATAAAATGGGACATTATTGGGAGTTTTAGAAGGGAAAATGATGTTTAAATTAAAATAAAAATTATTTAGGTGATTTATATAGAAGAAATGAATAGAAAAATATTTATTCGGGTGTAAAATCGCCCTAATAACAACGTGTCATCATTGAGAATGTGTAACCATGCCTTGCTCTCAATTGTAGCCCTCTAAATGCGCTGTACTATGTAAACACTAAAATGTTGCGTTGTCACACCGTGTAAAAACGGCGGATAAAGCATTTACATTGCAAAATGGGACATTTTTGTGAGTTTTAGAAGGGAAAAATGATGTTTAAATTAAAATAAAATTATTTGGGCGATGTATAATGAAGAAATGAAAAGAAAATTCATAATATATATTCGGGTGTAAAATCGCCCTAATAACAACGTGTCATCATTGAGGATGTGTAACGATGCCTTTCTCTCAATGATAGCCATGTAAATGCGGTGTACAATGTAAACACCATAATGTGGCGTTGTCACACCGTGTAAAAACGGCACATAAAGCATTTAGATTATAAAATGGGACATTTTTGGGGAATTTTAGAAGGGGAAAAAGATTTTTAAATTAAAATAAAAATATTTTGGTAATACATAAAGAAGAAATGAAAAGAAAATATATAATATTTGTAGATTTAAAAGGATGGACTATATTTTGAAATTATAGAAACAATTGGAGAATATTTTTGTTGAATTAATAGACAATTTTTTTGTAAATATAGCTGGAGAAAATACGTTTTTAAATTGCATAATGTAAAAGGTGCCATATAATGCAAAGAAGACGAGGTTACACTACCGACTTATGTGAAGTAGTCTTAATATTATTGAATTTATAGCAATTTGTGTAAACTTTTGGACATTTTAAAATAACTTTCAACCATAAAATATGTAAAAATGGCATTTATTAATTATCCAAAGGTATTTAACTGAATTTAAATGATATTCTTGCTTTTTATTTTATGTAAAAATGTTATTTATCCTTCATCTAAACGTATTTAATTTAAATCAAATTCTTTTTTTCTATTTAACAGGACATTGAAGAAACTGGCGGCGAGGATAATACCACCTTATTAACCAATACTAATTTATCAGATGAAGATTAAGAACATTTTTTTTCAAAGTTGGAGACAAATATGAAAAACACACAATCCAATAATTTTTGGTATTCAAGCTAAAAAAAATATTTTATTTTGAATAATTTAAAAGTATTTTAATTATTATTTTTAAATTTAAAAAAAAAAATCAAAAAACCCGATATAACCGTTACTACATCATTAACATTTAATTTCAATAAGAAATGTTTTTCCCCAGTTACAAAACAATAAAAGATTTTTATTCTTTATCTCCATATTTAAAGTCCACACACAAAGCTACATTATTATATAAAAACCCCTATTTAATGAAAAAAGAACACAATTTATCATTGACATGAAATAATAAACGCTTATTTAACTAAAAACAAACAGCTCATGTGCTCATATTAAGCAAAAGATAATAATAACACATTACAAATATATTAAACAATTTATTAAAACACATTTATAAAAAGTATTACAATTTGTGCAATATTATTTTTTTTTATTAAATTATTTGTTTTATTTTTCTTTTTATACAAAAACAAAAAAAATGAAGACTGTTTCTTAACAAAACATAAAGCAAAAAAAGTATAAAAATAATAATTAATAATAAAATGTCTCCTAATTAAATAAAAAAGTAATTAATATTTAAAACCTAAGTTAAAAAATATTGGAAATTAAAAAAAATATTATTTTTCAATTAAAAATATGTTTCCGATTTAATTTTTTTTATAAAAAAATTACTGAAGCCTTTTTAAGACTTTCTCTTAATGTATACCCTGTGCATGTACTGTAGAATGTTAACACGGTAATGCGGGGTTATCACTCCAGTGTAAAAACGGCATATAGAGCATTTATTTTATAAAATCGTGGTTTTTCTGAAAATTTTTAATATTTTTATATATAAAATTATTACTAATGATAATATTTTAAAATAATTATAATATTTCGATACCAAAAATGTCACAATTTGATTTTTTCCCCTTATAAAAATATCACTGATGCTTTTTTAAAGCCTTCCTCTTAATGTATACTCTGTACATGTACTGTGGGATGTTAACACGTTAACGTGGCGTTGTCACTCGAGTGTAAAAACGGCACATGGAGCATTTACATTATAAAGTGATTGTTTTTCTGACATTTCTAAATATTTTTATATACAATATTATTACAAAAGATAATATTTTAAAATATTAATAATATTTCGGTACAATAAAATATCTCAGATTATTTTTTTTCTTTATAAAAAATATCACTGATATTATTTTTAAACCTTCCTCTTAATGTACAACCTGTACATGTACTGTAGAATGTTAACACGTTAACGTGGCGTTACCACTCGAGTGTAAAAACGGTATATAAAGCGTTTACATCATTAAATGCATTTTTGGCATTTTAGAACGGGTTTTAAACAAATATTAAAGGAATTTAAAATGAAGAAGAGAAAAGTCCAGGACTTTATATTAAGAAAAGTCTAGATTTAATTTAATATTTATTTAATCTGAATATAAAAATTACAACATTAAATGGCAAGACAAACCAGTTCAAAACACCTCTAATGGCTTGGCTACAATCACAAAAATATCCAAAACAAAAAAAGGAAAAATAATTCAAATCAACAGCTGGATGGCTGAAAATAAAAACTTAAACCACCCATAAATAGAAAAAGAACACCTAATAATGAAACACACATTTACTTTAGCGAAAACAACAACAACAAAATAAAATTACAAGAACAACACAAAGCAACTTTAAAACAATCTTGAACATATTTCAATAAAAAAACGAGACACAAATCATTGTTCACAAAATAAATAGAAGAAGAAGAGAAAAAGTATTGTAAAAAAACCCCCCTGTGTATTGAAAATGTAGTAGAGAATTTCTGTATAAAAGAAAAAGATGTAACATCTCCCCTTGTATGTTAGGGCCTTAGGTTTGAAAACAAAGGAATTTCCTGACCCTCAAAAACTTTAAAAATGGAAGTAAATGAACACCTAGGAAATTTAGAAGAACAAAATAAAAATATTTTAAACAAAACTATGTATTTTTGTAACAGTGTGATTGTTGTAGTGTTGGGAAAGCCCAAAAACACAAAATAAAAGTAGTTAGTTGTCAAGGAAAGAAAGTTAGTAAGAAAAAAAATTAAGAAATTAAAAAAAAAATATTTTTTTGTTTAAAAAAATTAATTGGTAAATTATTGATGATATGTGAACAGTATTTAATATAAGAAACCTTAAAACTAAATATGTATTTAATGCAATATTTTAATGTAATTTAAGTTACTTTTTATTTTTTTGGGGGATTTAAAACAAGGTTTTATATTCCTATTTAATTTATTTCGTATTTTATTAACACGCTTTATTACATAAAAATGTAAAATCGGCCCCAAAATGATTAATAAATTAATGATGTGAACGGATTTGATATAACAAAATAATATTTGAATATAATTTAATTAATTTATATTTGCTTTTATTCATTTGTAATATAATTTGTATTTTTTCTTCAAATTATTCTCTTTTATAAGAAAAAAATTGGCAATATTTGAAAATATTTTGATTTTTTTATTAGTTTTTAATTTAGTTTATTTTTTAATAGTTTTTAGTTTAGTATATTTTTAAATAATGTTTTTAGTTTATTTCATTTTTAATATAATTTCTATTTTGTTTCTCTTTTATAAGAAAAATTTAAAAATTGGTATACAAATTATTTGATAAATTTTTGATGATGTGTGAACACTGTTTTATAAAACATGTTAACAACAGGTTTAAGAATATTTAATTAATTAATTTTTTATTGTTTTTCCGTTTAAACAAGCATTTTTTATTATTTTTTTAATAAAATGCCCATTTTACTAACCCTCTTTATTAAATGTGCGTGTAAAAACGCCCTAATAACAACGTGTCATCATTGAGCATGTGTAATCATGCCTTCTCTCTCAATGACAGTCCTGTAAATGCGCTGCACTATGTAAACACTATAATGTGGCGTTGTCACACCGTGTAAAAACGCCACACCATGTAAATGCTCTAACATTATGAAAGAGGGCCTTTTTGTGGCATTTTAGAGCGGGAAACGGGGTTTTTAAATAAAAACAAATATATTTATGTAATTATAATGAAAAACTGAAAAGTCTGGGGGCTTTATATAAGTAAACCCTATTGATTTAAATAGAATGTTTACATTTTGTGCGGAAATATTAAGAAAAAATAATTTTGATTTATATGGATTCCTTGTTTTTAAATCCCTTATAATTATTTTTTATAACAAACATAATAAAAAAATATTCTAAATTATCCCTCACTAATGATAATTTAATTAAATTAATATTATGTATTACTACAACAAAATATACAATTTTTGTATCTTTTTACCACAAAACTGTATTATTATATAAAAACATATTTTAGAGCTCAAGCTTTGTAAGCCACTAAATGAAATTCTATTGAAAAAAAATCGAAAAAAAATAAATTAAATAAAAAAGCAGAATAAGCAAAATGTCCAAAAAAATCAACTAACGCTTAAAGAAAAAACAAACAACTAACAAAGTATTAAAAAAATGCACAAACAAAACAACAACAACAAAATCTTTAGATGAGATTTTTTTGTATAAGAATTAAAAAAAGAAATATTCTTTCTTTTCGTCTAAGTTTAGCTTAAGCTATAGGGGGTTTAGTTAACCCCTTATATCCAAAATTCGAATTTCGAAATAATTACACAAAAAAGTGGAATGCAAACACATTAAATTTATTAAATTTTTGGGTTTAAATTAAATGTGAGTTTACGAAAACCAAACATGGGTTTGTTTTTTTTTACAAAAAAAAGTCTGTTTTTATACTTGAAAAAAAAAACAATAACAACATTTTCTAAATAATTTGCCTGTGAAACAAAACTGAAAAATAAATAAAACAATATGTTTTTTTGTATTGCAAAAAACAGAAAATCTTAAAAATATAAAAAAGCTTCAACAAATAAAATAAAAAAACTATTTAAAGAAAATAAAAAATATTGAACTATTATTGCTTGTTACAAAAAAATATATACAAACAAAAAAAAACTGAAAACATTGTTATAACAAGAAAAAAGTAAATCTGATATATACGCTAAAATAAACGTGTAAAACTATATAACAAAAAAATTATGTTTATTTAGCCGCTTCTTAAAAAAAAACAGACACAAAAAAATGAAAAAACTGAAAGTTATAAAAAAACCACACATATATTCATAAGATAAGTAAACTATTTATTTATATACATGTGTATTTAATCGTAAATATATATATATACATTTAATTTAGCTTATAAGCCTTTGAACCGATCAGCCACAACCACTCCAAAGATGAATAAGAAAAAACCCCAAAAATCCAAAAATTGAACACGTTAAATAGTTTGTCATAAAATATATATCTATGTATGTAAAACGATTATCAAAAAAAAAAATCCAACACCCGTTTCAAAAAACCAAAAATAAATAATTGCAAATTTTGCTTGCAAACTGTAAAACCGCCTAATTACACAAACAAAAAATATATATTTAAAAAAAGCCCGAAATGGAATCAATAAAATTGTCATCAAATCAAATAACATTTATTTAAAATAAAAAAATAAACAATTTGGTTTTATTTATAGAGCAGAAAGTACCCATTTTCCGTGTAAAAACGGTCTATAAATAACGTATTATCATTGGTGACAAATAACAACGCCATTCTCTAACACAACGTTGTCACACAGTGTAAAAACGATTAATAGAGAGAATTTTAGGTCATTTGGGGGGAAAAATGAGTAGAAAAAATATTAGGAGTATAAAAATCAGTTCTGAAAACATCCTCCCTTAATTTAGCGAAATTTACTTATAGAAAAATTCAATTTGGTGTTTTTTTTTCAAATGGAATAAATCAATTTAGCAAAATATTTTTATAAAAAAACTCAATTCGATGCAATTTTGTGATTTGTTTTTTTTTTTAGAAAAAAATTCAATTCTGCGAGGGGTTTCTTTGGAAAAAAACTCAATTCAGCGAAGGGTTTCTATAGAAAAATTAAATTCAGCGAAGTTTTTCTAAAGAAAATGTTATTATCCATTTAGAAACTTAATTTAACGATGATTTTCTAAAGAAAAAATCAATTCAGCTAGGTTTTCGGTGTAAAAAGCCCATTCAGCGAAATTTTCCAAGGAAAAAAAACTCAATTCAGCGCTGTTTTAAATTAGAAAAAATTATTTTTTTTAGAAAAAACTCAATTCAGCGTGGATTTTCTATAGGAAAATTCAACTCAGCGATGGGTTTCTATAGAAAATCTCTCAAATTAGCTAAGTTTTTCCTATAGAAGAACACAATTCAGTGAGAAAAACTCAATTCAGCAAGGGTTTTCTTTGGAAAAATTTATATTATCGATTTTTTCCTAAAGAAAAACTCTATTCAGCTAAGTTTTTTCTATGGAATAACTCTCTAAAAAAATCAATTCAGCGAGGGTTTCCTATAGAAAAACACAAGTCAGCGAGGGTTTTCTATAGAAAATCTAAATTCAGCAAGGGTTTTCTATAGAAAACACAATTCAGTGATGTTTTCTGTAGAAAAAATTAATTCAGCAAGGATTTTCTATGGAAAAATTTAATTCAGCGAGGGGTTTCTATGGAAAAATTTAATTCATAGATTTTTTCCTAATGAAAAACTCAATTCAGCCTGGGGGGTTACTCTGTATTGCGTTGCGAAAGCAAGTGCGATGCGAAAGCTAAATGCGTTAAGAGTACAATTTGGTACTCTATAACGTTCACGCAAACGCATTCGCAAACTAAATTGAAAATAGGGCAACACTGTCGCCACAAAGTAAACAACAACGAAGAATGACAAAAGGAAACGTCAAAAATTGTAAATGAAAACATATTTTTGTGTGGTACGAGTGTTTTTTTAAACAAAAATGATGAACGAATTAAAAAAAAAGAATTTTATGAGATCTATCAAATATACTCTCCCTAAGTGCGAATTATGTGACAAATGTTTTCAAATATTTAATTTTTATAGATTTATATAAAATGTCTCAATAAAGATTCGTTTATGTATTTTTTAAACGCTCGTCGTTTCAAATAGATCCACAACAATTCCAACTCCAATAAAAGAGGCCGCTGCTTTGAAATTGCTTGGACAATGTGGTTATCAACATCAACCTATAAATATGCACACATAGTTTCACATTTTATATAAAAAAAATAATATATTACTTTTTCCAACCACCGACATCTTTTACAGGAGGTCAATTTGAATTGAGGTCATCAGACAATTTTGTCCACAAATTGTTGGCGCGTTGTTTCGCATTTGAACTCTGCAACTGTCCCTTTGCCAAATCACTGTGTTGCCCCATAAAATCTACTGAAGTTAGGAACAGACGTTGCTGAGCCTGTAACTGTGACTTTTTTGCCTTTTACTTAAAATAATTTACAATTTTTATATAAATAAAACCTTTAATGGAGCTTACTTATACGTTTCGCTTCCTTTGCGTTTGCTATTTTGTTAACGCAAGATATTTGCGCTTAACGAACGAGTTTGACATGCGTTTTCGTATTACAGAGTGCGGTGATGCTACATTTGCGTAAAGTAGATGCGAAAGGAGATACGAAAACGAATTAGAGAGTACCAATTACGCGATGCGTTACAATTTTTCTCACGCATCGCAATACAGAGTAGCCCCCCTGGTGTTTCTTTAGAAAAACACAATTTAGCGACGGTTTCCTACAGAAAAAGCACAATTCAGCAAGGATTTTCTGTGGAAAATTTTAATTCATCGACTTGTTCCTAAAGGAAAACTTCATTCAGCTAAGTTTTTTCTATAGAAAAACACAATTCAGCGATGTTTTCTGTAGAAAAACTCAATGGGAAGGGATCTGATAGGGTATTCTATCTAAAAAAAATGTCTGAAAGGTCTACAATGTTTTATGGGTATAGAAGACCTCAGAAAGGCATTCAATCTACATAAGACCCCTGAACGGTCATCTATATACAGAAGAAGTTTGAAAGGTCTCCCCATTTTATCAAAAAGAAATCTCTTCAATGTCTTATGGCTATAAAAGACCTCTGAAAGTCCTTCAATCTACGGTCTCTGAACGGTCTTCTAACTATAGAACACCTTTGAAAGGACTTCTAAAACTAAAACACATTTGCAAGGTCTTCCAAGACCTATAAAATGTCTTTTATCTTTAGGTTTTTTATCTTTAGGAAAGTTCATTCAGATCTTTTCTATGTTTAGCAATTATTACAAATATTTTTTTTAATTCATTAGTTTGCTTCTCATTCCGACATTAGCTGTTTATTTTTTTCATTTTGTGTATCGATACGATTTTTAACAAATTGTTGGAAATTTTGTTCTTCCGTTTGTTCAACTTGATAGGTGGATGGGGCCTCATCCTCGTTGCCTTCTTCATCTTCGGAACTTTCATTGCCCGGATGTTTTAAATAGACATCGGAAAGTTCGCGACCACTGGAAACCTGGAAGAAAAAAATAATACATTTAAATATTAAATGGATTATGGAATATTTTCAAATATAAATTGTATTGCTGTTTCGGGAACCGATCTTGGCTAGGTTGTCCTTCATGTAAATAAATTGAAAAAAGATTCAGGCCACTATAGCCTTTCTATTTGAAATTTGCAGGTTTTACGTTAGATTTTTAAATTTAAAAAAATTAACTCCTTTTTCTCACCTCCTCCACAAAGCCCGTCAATTTAATTTCACTGCCAGCTCCTTTACTTTTGGCAATGGTTTCCAATTTCTCTTCTTGTTTTTTGGTTTGCTCTTTCAGTTTTTCCTCGCGTAGTTTGTTGTATTCAGCTTTGTAATCCCTAAAAATAAAATAATTTTATTACCGGTTCCAAGTAATTTTCAATTAATAATAACCCACTTTTCATATTCTATGGCACCCTCTTCCACAAGGCCAAAGAAGGTATCAAAACCCACACCGGTTTTTGATGATATGCCACAGGTTTTCAGATCACTATAAAACTCATCCAATGTTAAGGACATAGTGCGGGTTAAATTACTAATATAATTTTGTTCCTTTTCCAAGGCTTCTTGGAAGGCCTCAAAATCGGTCATCCACTCCACGGCAAAATCATGATCTTGCATGTCAATCTATAGAATAGAAAAAAATTATTAATCATTAATAAACCAAATTAAGAGATTTTACTTACCTTATTCATGGCCACAATAAACGGCAGCCGGGCCTTATACAATATCGAACAGGCATATAACATATTGGACATAAACGTGGTGGGACTCACCGAACGCACCACATCCATAACATACACCACAATTGTGGGAAACATTGTAGCCAACGCCTCGGTAATTATTGTACCCGATGCCGACCATGTAAATACTTCAATTTGTCCCGGCGTATCAATAATACACCATTTATGACCCTGTTGTCCAGCACGTCGTATCAGTTCGACAACTTTTTCAAATTTCGTTGCAAATAAATTGAGAGATGTTACAATACCACCATTTGGTCCTAGTTTATATTGTTTCATAACTTCTTTATAATTTACGGTGTCGCGTATATCAATATTAGCATGATAGGGGGTTTCCCGACAGGCCGGATCCAAATTTATGACATAGGGTTTATATTTGGCAAATGAGGTTTGGGTAAGTTTTTGTACAAATGTTGTTTTGCCCGAACCGGCCATGCCGAGTACAATGAGGCAGACGGGTGATGTTTGGGGACCATTTTCAACGGTCAAAGGTAGTTGTGGATTGGAGGCCATTTCTTGTAAATAGGGGAAAGATTTTTGTCTTTCAAATGGGGAATTAAATTACGGCTAGGCCTTAACACAGGACAAAAAGGGGGCTGGCTGTAAGAAAAATAAAATAAATTAAAAATTATGAATATATACGCTAATTTAAAAATAAATTTAGACCAGTTTTGAAAGAATTCCGATTCATGGACCTAGGTTTCAAAAGGAGGCATTATTGTTGCTTTTTTAACCGCTCTTGACCCATTGCCCTTGGTTATAAGACTTGGAATCATGTTGAATTAGTCTGTTTTTTAAATGCCAATCCAAAAGCATCAAAAGGATCTGCATAGCCTAGTAAATGTATTTCATCATTTAACGGCACATGGAAAGTCTTCAACAAACGGATTAATAACTGCTTGTAAGGAAGAATTAACATACTTTTTCACACTATACAGCTCGGAATAGCCAGTTCACCTTCCAGGGCAATAATTATGGCTATAATTTCAATAAAATTCAATAAAAAACTTAATTTCTAAAGCAAAATGATGTTGGTTTGAATCAAAAACAAAACAATGTGGCTCACAAAGGAACTTTGTTCAATTGTACGGGTTCACTGAAATGAATCACTGAACTTTCTCTCTCCCTCTCTCTCTTTCTACAACATTATCAAATGTGTGGAAGAGAAATCAATTAAAAAGCACAATGCCATAAATATAAATGAAATAATATAAAACATTTGTCTCATAAACAACTAAGAAAATAAACAACAACAATATTGTCCAATAATAAACAAAAAAGGGTCGCAAGAGGTTCAATGTATGAAATTCACTGAAATGAACATATGATTTCCCTCAGTTGTGTGCTTCTTCTTCTCTTTACAGTTTCTAACGTAATAATTGGTATTCAGAAAGAATTGATAGAACAAAAGAGATTTAAATAAATTGAAAGTAATTTAAATGATTATTTTATAATTTCTTTGTATTATAAGTTGTTGATTTATTAAAGAAATTAAAAAAAACCTACAGTTGTTATGTCAATTGAATTGATAACTCAAATTTATCAATAATAAAACGAAGTAAAAACAGATTTGAGAACATGATTAAGGTCATGGTACAATAATACAAGATAGGACAGCTTGAGGTGAATAACAAAACAGCAACTATGTAGGTGGCGGCTTCTTCTGCCAAATATAAAATGAATATACGCAACAAGTGGTTGTTTATACTTGACATTTTTTCAACACATAACTAAAAAAGCGAAAAATTAATGAAAGGTTATGATTTATTCCCTCTCCAAAATCCAGTAGGGAATAGCATGAAATGTTTGTTTCATCCCAAACAAAGTAATAACGATTACCAGGCGAGCTCGGTAAAAATTATTCTCATTTCAATTAAATATGTTTCAATTTATTCTTCAATTTATTACGAATATGTTTCAATTTACTTTGAATTTATTTGACATAGTATTCAAAACAATACAAACATATACAAAAAACTATGTATTTTGATTTGATAGAACAAGCCACCTTTAGAAAAAAAATTGTAGTAAGTTGGTAGCTATACTCGCAATTGTAATAATTTTACTATATTATGCTATATAATTATATTTTTGATCTCTAGACCAAGATTTCTTACAAAACAAATTTGAGTAACGAATTTTTCTAGGAAAACTTAAAAATATATATGTAGCAACCACATTATATTACTCCAAACTTTGGGTATTTTGATGATAACCATCGAAGGCACCAGCAATTTATTATTTATTGTGCATAGTAGCTTACAAAATCTCTTTGGAAAATATGTAATTGATATATTTGAATTGGTCTGTTCCCGTACTGCAAGAATATACTACTTTTTACTCCGATATCGAATTTTCCTTTATGATATCGAAGAAAATAATAACATTTAGTAGATTCTTGCAGAACGGGAGCAGACCAAATGATATATAAACCCTATATAACAAATTTTTACATCGAAAATTCATCATAATTTTTTGTTGTATAGCTGTAGTTCCATATCGAGTTGCAAATAATTGTCATTATCTCCAAAGATGGGGATAAACAGTTCGGGCAAATAATTTTTCTAATTATCATTCATACAAATTTCTTAATTTAAATATTTCTAAATATATCACAATTTTTATTGGATCTTCTTTAAAGTTTTTTAAGATTTTTAGTTCTTTATTAAATACAGTACAGTAAAACTTGTAAAAATGCTCAAATTTTTAGATTCTTCCATGCAAACGGAACATAGCTATTCATTTCACTGTTTGTGTTATCAATTCCCTTTGCATTGCAGTGATGCCATTAGAAACCCCCTAGCAAGAAGAAGCATTTGTTTTGAGCCTTTTCATAAACACACAGAGAAAAAACAAAACACACACACAAAAAATATGTGTGTGTTTGTGTGTCATTTGATAACAAACGTCACGAAAACGTCAAACAAAGTGGTAAACAAAAATATTTTTTTATTGGGCAACTTTTTTTGTGGGGGAACTAAAAGTTTTTTTTTGTAGAAAAAAGTGTTTTGTATTTGGTGGAGTGGTGAAAAAAAGCGCGATAAAACCTCTATTGGCAACATACACAATGGGTTTTCCACGTATAATCAGTAAAAATAATAAAATATACACGAAATTGGGCGATTTCTGTTTGTCTGGAGATGGCCAGCAGTTTTGGATTGTGTGTCATACGTGCCAAGAGGAGCTGCAGACACAAGATAAATTCTGGAAGCACATACAGGATGAGCATAACTTTATGCATGGCGTTAGACAAGTGAGTTGGTTGGTAGGGTGACAGAGGGGGAGGAGGTGGAATGGGGCTGTGGCAGGGGTTTGCAAGGGGTCAATTGTTATTAACGCGCCATTTTTTCCGATGTTGTGTTTTTAGGAACAAACACGTACAGCAGCCCAGGCATATATGGAGGCAGCGGAAGCAGCCTCAATGATGCCTTTGCCATTGTTCCGGAAGATGAGTGTAAATGAGCAGCAGCGAGAGGATAGTATGAGCCAGGAGGATGAGGATATGCACAAGGAACCAAAAGACTATACAGAGATGAGGTCCCATGAAGATCCGAATCAGTCATCGGTGTCGATTGATATTAAATTGGAACCACAGTTAAGTCACCAAGGCCAGCATCAACAGCAAGCACAGCAGCAGCAACAGCATCACCAGCAGCAGCAACAACAGCAGCAGCAGGCACAACAGGAACAAGAACAAATGCAACAGCAGCAGCAGCAACAACAACAACAGCAGCAACATCAACAGACCCAACAAATCGAAATAAGTACACCGCTGATGTATCAAATCCCGCATGTCCATGCACCACCGGTCAGTGCATATGCCGCCTTAGTACAACCCAATTTAAATTCGTTAAATATGTCCGTGGCTGCAGCAGCAGCGGCTGCCTCACAAGTGCCAACCTCAATGGCCGCTCTTATGCCCATCAAAGATGAAATGATCCATAATAAGGAGTCGGCCAATAATAGTACCACGGCTAGTGCCAGTAGTGCCATGTCATCGGAGGATGGAGAACGTTGGTATATATGTGACTTTGAAAATTGTGGCCTGAAATTTAAATATCAATCGCGGCTCGAACTGCATCGCAGTGTGCACAGTAAGGAAAGGAAATTTTCGTGTGAAATATGCGGGGCCAGTTTTAAGCAGTCGTGCAATTTGTCGACACATCGGAAAAAGAAACATGCCCTGAAGGGTACTGCCAAAATGACATTGGTGCCGCCGCATCGTTTTTGAAATCCAATTATGAATTTTTTACAATTTCCTTTTTATTTTTGAAAAAGAGTTTCAAAAAAAAAAAACTTTTTGAAAGAAAGAAGTAGAGAGAAGATGAAAAAAAGGAAATTAACAACAAGTCCCCACCTTCCTTATAAGAAAAAAAACAAAAGAATTCGATTTTTTTTTTTAATTTTTTGTTTCTCCCTTTAAAAAAACATTTGTTAGTGGCTCAAGTAATGAAAATGGAAAACAAATAACTAAAATTTATATTATTTTGCTAAATTTTTCTAGAGTAGCAACAGGAAAAAAATGTAAAAAAATTTTGAAAAATATTTTTTTTCTCCTTACGAAAATTAAAATTGTAGTTTTTAAGTTTAAATTTTATATATACATATATATTTCGGGATTTAATTAATTTTTTTGTTAGTAGTTTTTAATTTCTCTACTTTTTATTGTTTTATAAAAAAAAACATTCATTGGGTGAATGTTTGTATGTAATAGTTAAAAGAAGTAATGAAAAGAAACAACAACAAATTGAAAGAATAGATTTTCTTTTAATTTTCAGTTAATTTCTTTCGAAAAAAATGCCTTACCTTTTTTATTTTTTTTAGATTTAAGAAATGTTAATTTAATTATTCTTTGTTTGATATACAAAAAAGGCTTATTTGGAATTGATTTCTCTTAGGCGAAATACTTCCAATTTTATTTTTTTGTCAAATATTCTGTTTTGTTAAATGCTTTTATTTTGTAATGAAATTATTTTTTATTTTAATTTTTAGTTAACCTATACTTTTTTGTGCAATTTTTTATATGGCCTTTGATTTTAGTTTGGTTTATTTTATTTTATTTTTTTAATTTTCTCTCTATATATTGTCTTTGTCTTGCTTTCTTTCTTTTAGTTGTAATTATTGTGCAATTAATATTAGACAAAACAACAACAAAAAACAAATGAATACAAATTATATTATACATATATATAATAAAAATAAATAAAAAAACACAAAATAAGATTTTAAGTAAATAAAGTTAGTCTAAAATTCAAAAAAAAAAAAAAAAAATATTTTTTTTTCAAAATGTGGAATTTTAAAATTCAAATTCCAATTTCAATTTGTTTTCATTAAAGTCTTCTTCTCTATTTATTTTATAGCACTGTGGCTTTTAAGGATATAGCAAATTTTTATGGCACAGGATACCATTTGCTAAGTGTTATAACTCAAAACGGTTCTTGTCTATGCTATAGTGGTTTAGAACCAACTCGTCGATTTTTTTATAGCACAGGACCATAAGTCTACATAATTTATGGCCATGTAAATAAGTACACATAAAATCAGGTATGTTAAGTATATAACCTTTTCAAAACACCATTATTTTTAATACTTCTGTTATGTTTACAGATATCTTTATGTTGCAGATTTTTAGCGGAATTTAATGTAGAACAATTCTTCAGTTGACCTGAATGACCTAGCATGAAGTTTAGTTGGATATTTTAATGAAATCTAAAAGTATTTCAAATTAAAAAAAATGATAAACAATTTTTGTTAAAATGACCAAAAGTTGACCCCTTTTATCTTTATATCTAATAATGCTAGAGGTTCGGATTGTTCAGTGACCCACAATGGAATTTGATGTAGAACATTTCCGCCATTGACACCTGAGCGCTACAATGAAGTACAAGGGGAGATATTTGGGTAAACTGAAAACTTCCGAAATTAACCTAACAAATTAAAATGCCCATATTATATTGTATTCCTAGAGGTTCGGATTGTTCGGTGACCCACAATGGAATTTGATGAAGAACAATTCCATCATTAACATCTAAGCGCTACAATGAAGTATAAGGGGAGTTACTGGAGCAAAATCTAAAAATATTTCAAATTAGAAGAATAATTCAAATGATAAATAATTTTCGATACACCCATAAGATAACCCATATTATCTTTATATCTAATATTCCTAGAGGTTCGAATTGTTCGGTGGCCCACAATGGAATTTGATTAAGAACAATTCCACCATTGACACCTAATGTCTCAATGAAGTATAAGGGGAGAAATTTGTGTAACCTAAAAAAAATTAACCTAAAAAAAATTAAAATGCCCATATTATTCTGATATCCCGCATTCGTAGAGTTTCGCTTTGTTCGGTGGCCCTCAGTGGAATTTCATGTAGAACATTTCCGCCATTAACACCTGAGCGCTGTAATGAAGTATAAGGGGAGAAATTTGTGTAAACTGAAAACTTCCGACTTTAACCTAAAAAAAATTAAAATGCCCATATTATCCTGATACCCTCTATTTCTAGAGCTTCGTATTTTTATATAGAAAAGTTATCGATAATGACTTTTCTGTAGAGAAAAAGTTATCGATAATAACTTTTTTGTATAAAAAATTATCGATATTAACATATCTGTATAGCAAAGTTATCGATAACAACTTTTCTGTATAGAAAAGTTGTCGATAACAACTTTTCTGTATAGAAAAGTTGTCGATAATAACTTTTCTGTAAAGAAAAGTTGTCGATAATAACTTTTCTGTATAGAAAAGTTATCGATTATAACTTTTCTGTATAGAAAAGTTATCGATAATATAGAAACGTTGTCGATAACAACTTTTCTCTTGAGAAAAGTTTTCGATAACAACTTTTCTCTATAGAAAAGTTTTCGATAACAACATTTCTCTATAGAAAAGTTTTCGATAACAACCTTTCTCTATAGAAAAGTTGACGATAACAACTTTTCTCTATAGAAAAGTTGACGATAACAACTTTTCGCTATAGGGAAGTTGTCGATAACAACTTTTCGCTATAGGAGAGTTGTCGATAACAACTTTTCTCTATAGAAAAGTTGTCGATAACAACTTTCCTCTATAGAAAACTTGTCGATAACAACTTTTCTCTATAAAAACATGTATAGAAAAGTTTTCGATAACAGCTTTTCTCTATAAAAAGGTTTCGATAACAACTTTTCTCTATAGAAAAGTTTTCGATAACAACTTTTCCATATAGAAAAGTTTTCGATAACAACCTTTCTCTATAGAAAAGTTTTCGATAACAACTTTTCTCTATAGAAAAGTTTTCGATAACAACTTTTCCATATAGAAAAGTTTTCGATAACAACCTTTCTCTATAGAAAAGTTTCCGATAACAACTTTTCTCTATAGAAAAGTTTTCGATAACAAATTTTCTGTATAGAAGAGCTGTCGATAACAACTTTTCGCTATAGGAATGTTGACGATACCAACTTTTCGCTATAGGGAAGTTGTCGATAACAACTTTTCGCTATATCAAAGTTGTCGATAACAACATTTCTCTACAGGAAAGTTGTTGAATTTATATAGAATTTTATTTGTTCAGATGTAATCGATAACAACCGTTTTGTTTCTCTATAGAAAATTTCACGTTATTTGTACATCAACTCAGATGATGACCTCCTGCCTCCTTCACTTTTGTCACAGGGACATTTTGTGTGGCATTAAAAATGCCCTTTAAAAACTATTCCCCAGTTTCCTCCATACAATTCCCCCCTTCATCTATCTATCCTTATTTCTATAAAAAAATATTTTTATTATGAAGAAATAATAACGTTTATGTCAACGACATCAATGGCCGTTATGTTTCTCCCATTCTCCGTCAAACATATGATGAGAATAAAGAAATCGTGGGGGGAGAGAGAGAGAGGGAGTATGTGTATGAGTTATTCTTCTTCTTCTGCCATACAACATTTGGCGCCTTTTTTGTTAAGTGTCTTTTTCATGACTAGTTTTGAATGGGTGTTCGTTCGTGTGTGTTTGTGCACGCCTTTTGTTTGATACTCTTCCGTTGTGTTTAGTGGTTACGTTTGACTTGAAGTTTCAATGACTTGTTACAATGTTTCCTGGTATGGTTTTTTCTCTATTGAAAATCAAGGATGCAGCAAGAAGACAGGTGATGGAAAAAAGTGCTAGTGTTTTTTATCAAATTGAAAAATCATGTTATGTGTTTTTGTATTGTCCACGAAACTATTGTGATTTGAGAGAGAGAGAGAGTCACACACAACCGCTGTTAAATAAGTGAAATTAAATTTATTTGTTTTTCTTTTCATTTTTTTTTTTTTTGTAGGAATTTACTGAAAAAGTGAAGTGGGATGAAAGAATCTTAAATGGGGAATGAGGACGTTAAGAACTTTCCAATGACGAGCCGCTGTTAAGGTCCCAACGAACCGTTTAATGACGGTTAATTAAAAGTGGCCGTAAATTACCTCCAAGCGGAGGCCAATGATCTTTAATCAGGATTAAGTACTTTTCAATACAGAAAATTTGTTATCGATGACTTTGCTATACAGAAAAGTCATTATCGATAACTTTTCTAGACAAAAACGTTATTATCGATAACATTTTTTCACAGTAAAATTATAATCGATAATATTTTTCTATGGGAAAGTTATTATCGTTAACATTTTCTAGGGGAACATTATTATCGATTACTTTTTTTGCAGAAAATTTTCATATCGATAATTTTTCTATACATGAACATTGTTATCGACATCTTCTCATTAAAGAAAATGTATTATCGTCAACTTTTCCATGGAAAAAATATTTTGTTTTGGGTTTATATCATTTAATTTCCTACAACAACTCTGTTAAATCATGCTTGATTCCAATTGCCACTTGAAAAGAAGAAAAAAGAAAACTAAATTCCCAATCAAATGACATAATGAAAATCACAACTAAAATCTGAAGAAAGAAAAATTGTTGAGCAATCGAAAACATCACAGCAATGTCAATATGAAAAATATTCTCCTTTTTTTTTTCTTGTTCACATTTGAATGTTATCAAATTCAACACAAACTGTGCATGTAATTGGATAGGGGAGTACCCGCTGGGAAATGGAACTAAATGAGAAATAAGACTTCCAATTAAATTAATTTATTGAAGAAATGATTGGAATTCCTTGATAGTTAATTAGAGTAGTTAATAATATATTTGACAATTACTAAGGTGCAGTTAGTAAAGCGTTCCTAGTGGCCACTTTCATCTTCTTTTTTTGTAACTTGAGTAAGTGTAAATTGAAATGAATTTCAATTTCCATTCG